TGTTGAATAACGCTGTCTCTAACGTCTCCAACGTCTCCCGTCTCTTCGATAGAGCCTGTTGTAGTTTCGGTGGTAGTAGTCACCAGGATACGTGGAGTTTGGTAAAACTCTGACTTTCTTTTCTTATCATACAGATTGGGTTCCTCCTCTTCTGCAATCGTATCATTGGTAATAGTACGAGTATCAAGCCCGTCGATACGAATACGAATGCCAGATGTCAAATCAAGAGCGGCCTGCTCAGAGGGTGTACGATGTCCACCAAGGAACAAAAAGTTTGTGATGCCTTTCTTCTTCTTTTGTTGTGTTTCTTTGGGTGAGTTGAATGAATACGACGAGCTGGTCTCTGTTGATGCTGATAACAATACCTTTGACGAATTAAGAGAAGACTGAGATATTTTGTTGGTGGGCTGTGATTTCTCTGTTGAATTGGAGCTCTTGATACTATATGTAAATCGACTTCCTGTATCCTCTGTTTCCCTGAAGCAAAATGGAAATACAATGTCCAACTTGAGCATTTTCCCCCATGCTTTATATTTGGCCACTGCATCCTGCCCAGTGCCGAAAAATATGAAGAGCATGATACCCGTGAGGGGTTTGAAGTAGTCGAGCAGTTTTACTCCCTCGTCATAACTGCTCACTTGGTCCCAATCTTGGTGTACGAATTTCCAGGAATATGGAAAGAACCCGAACAAAAAGGCCTCTTTGAGTTGAAGGAGGGAAGCGGGAAGGGCAAAGACGAGGAAAGAGACGCAGAAGAACACTAGACGGTAGAATTTAGCTTGGTTTAGACCCGATTCTTTGAAAGTCAAAAGTCTTTGTATCTCGAGACGCTTCTTAATGATAGCATAGGCAGTAAGAACTAGGAAATGAAAATAATAATTATTAACGGCCCGTACAACAAACATTAATAAATGCAATTGCTTAAAATGGCTGATGATATCCATGATGAATTTACTATTTTTGACATTTACCTGCATAAACACTTCCAACAAGGGCAAATATAACGGGCCATATGTGAACAATGAACACAGTTGGTAAGGTATACATGTATGGCGAGAAACAACCTAGTACAGGTCTAAGACCATATTTGTGGTTCTGAACAAGATAATAACAAGCGGCCAACACTGTTGGAACGATGATGCAGGCAAAAAAGTCGATAATTGCCCGTCTTCTGCGCACTCTCTCGGTAATGATGATAGTGGATGAGACGTATGTGTAGAGAGCATGTATCATACATGCAACCGAGGCAAGCACGCCATAATTTGAAGCTTGGTAAATCGGAGTTGTGATAAGACAGTATACTGGGGCCACGTCAAGGAGGTCATCGCCCGACCAGATGAGAGAATTGATGAAATCTATGAGATTAAGAAATACCACCCAGAATGTCATGAATATTGCTCCCCAATTGCGAGTCTGTATATGAAATATGCCTGGAACTACTGAAAGGAGAACGGCAATGAATGAAACGATGGTAAAGAGATAATCTGCCATTGTTACGATTCAGGATTTGTAACGGCAGATTTGAGTTCTTTTAGTTGGTGTTTATATCCGAGTATTTTTGGAGAAAGAAAAAAAAAAGATTGAAGTCGTGTGCTTCTCAGTGGAGAAATATTCTATCTCGTATATGTCATGTAATTCCAGATATGTAGGAAAATTTTCACACTCGTGTATGTGTTCTCTTCTATGGTTATGTACACTCAATTGTTATGTATTATGCTAAGTCGAATCAACGACAATGATGATGGGAGGGAAGAGGGAGAGAAAGGGGGAATGTATGCAGGCGGAGGATGCGTGGAGTTTAAATAATATATATTCTTTGTGTATCTATTTAAACCTGAGACTCCAAATAAGGACAAAAAGACCAAATTAAATTTCGAGTCCAGGATGAGGGGATGTTGAAGAGGGCGTTATGGGCATTTATTGAGTTTCTTGATTGATGTGATATCCAATGTTGTTATACAAGTACGTATGTGGCAAACGGGTTGAAGTGACATTTAGAAACTGTGCTGCAGTTGTTAGAACAAGGACTATTTGAAATACAGTAACATGAAATAAGATATGCAGAATGTAGTACCATTCGGATATTGTTGAATTATTAACTTACCTAGTACAGATTAGCCCGGAAAGTAAGCTTTTTAGATTTGTGATCCTTTCTTCGACATTTACGGCAAACATCCAGCTCTACATTTCCATAAAAAGAACCACGTCTGCCTGTAGGGCTTAAATGGGAATATTCACCATCTTTGTTTATCCCATTGTCCTAGATAGCACAACGTGGGAAGAAGAAAAAGAACCAGTTTCCCATGAGCGACAAAGAACATCTCGTATACTTACGTATATGTCACATGCGAAAACAATTGAAAAGTCAAGGCATTGACAGCATTTTAACAAGTATGGGCTAGCGGTTTACAATCGCATCTATTGCGCTTGACATCTTTGCTTCAATTATAGTTCAGAGAGATAGTAGCACAAGTAAACAAGGGAGGGGAAAAGGTTAGTTTTGTTCATCATTTATGTAGAGTTTACTTTTTATCCTGCAAATATAAGGAAATATGTATAAATGAGACGATAAAAGAGAGCCAATAAAAATCATTGACCTACCATGCTCTCTATTTAGTCGATCAAGCATTGAAAACAAGGAATAAGATTATATTTAGGCGGTACACATTTGAGGTCAAGAATAAATATCATCCATTTGCTTCATATCATTTATTATTAGCATTAGTACGCATATAAAAATTCAAGTGATTTGTTTCCGGAATGTCGTTTCTCCTGTGATATGTGACCACAATTCGACACGGGGATTCTTATTTCCTCAAGATAAAGAGCCAACCACAGATATAATTAATATACTGTATATCGCTTTCGTAAGATTCAAAAATAGTATCTAAACAATATACTTTAAGAGTAAACTGGCTCCAAAACAGGTTGGAACAAGATCAAATGGGGTAAGGTAATAGTAATGTTGACTGTGCGTTAACCATATGAATAATTGTAACATTCATTAATTTAACGATCGGCAGTGTGCATTATTATTATAAAGTCACAAGAAACGTCACATTCAAGCTACTCAACCACAACTACAATTTCGCTTAAACGTCCCTTATTAGATAAATGCAGGACTTGTAATATAGTTATTAAATGTCAAGGTTGTACATTTTTTCAGAACGGCTAACGTTTGAAAACTTTCCTTGTTCAAAGTGTAACACTCGCTATTATAAGTTATAGCGTAGCGAAACGCTCTTTCATATACTGTGTATCAGCATATACGGGATTCTATGATTGTGACTTTTACGAATAATTTGAAACATCCTATTATTTATCGAGTAATCTCACGGAATCTAGTAGCGTTTGGCGTGATCTATAGCGAACGCCTTATATGTATATGCGTATAACATATCATTGTATTAGTAATTCTCCTACGATTGATGTCCGTTGAGAAATCACCCTTTCTAATAACTGAAATGGCAAATCGATGGGATAGTATTGTATCTAGATATCAGAGAATTGTGTAGAAGATATACGATAGCATGTGCCAAAATCGCTATCAAGAAATTAAAAATATATAATTGTTATAGACCATTGTCGTTAATTGACAACAGTTGGTGAGTTTTAATTTTTTACTCGCTATCATTTATTATTATTGTTGTTCCTTGTTTCCCAAACACACCGTTCCTTACCCAAGATGGAAGACTAATTGATTAGTAATGACAAAAGAGACAATGTGACGGGTAACTAATATGAGAAATAAACTGTTATTACTAAAGCAACGACGAGTAAGACTCGCATAGTTTTACGCTATTATAAATTCTTGACCCAAATCTTACCACGAAAGTTTGTACAGTGCCAACTCGCTGGGAATGCTATGACGTACCGAATATGCGAGCTTGCAAGTCATTACTAATCAATATTACCATGGACGCAAATCGTCAAGAACTCACCACGTTGAAGGAGTCTATATCACATCCGTGATTGGTCCAATTCTGGTAGTCGCAAGAAGTCTTATACTCGGATGTGTTATACCGAAAGATTGCGACATTCATACCCTATACGTTGACACTTGACACAATTTTCCTTTGTGAGTTGTACAGACTGAAACATTAGCACTGTGTTGATATAATGATAGCCATTATGATATGTCATGTGCATCATCGGTTGTATGTATACAAAAAATGATGTGATAAGCTGCATATATGAACCCCTAACAAGGGTTTCCTTGCATTTCCCCGTCGAACCCGTTATATCATAGACAAAGAAAAAATATATATATATACTGTATATATTTGTCGGACGTGTCCGATACAAAGTGTTGTAACGGTAGAAAGAAAAACCGTTTTGTGTCTTTATTATTTTATATCAGATTAAATGATTTTTTATCATATGATCACCAGTCCTTGGGGGAAGGGTAAAATATTGATATAAGAAGACTAGAACATTTTGCTCGAATAAATCGACACAAAGAAGAAAATAATTAACTTAATCTCGGGACAATACTGAGTGTACAGAATTAATTGATAGATAGAACTCGACGTCATTAATTAATGCCTTTAGTAATTCGTTTTATTTATCTCACGCGTTACATGCCAAGAAACTGTCTGGCATTGTTTCCTTGGCTAATGTCATTGTCTTCGTTTGTACCAATCAACAACAGCGTAACTATAACGGTCCATGTTCTTTATCGTTTTCAAAGATAGCTTAACCAATTATAATCCCATTCAGAAACATTTCATGTGGTCACACAAGACCTGTCAAAGGTCGATAGTTGTAGTATTCTTTTATTAGGGATGTTATAGATGACCCGTTACTGAAAATAACACTCGGCTCTCAGTAGCGAAATGGTCAGCTGATTCATCTTCTATCCCAACGCTACCGATATATCGCATGTGGTGCAGCGATAAGATATTGATCTACTACACTGGATTGTTGGGGTGAATAATCGTGAGATAGAAACGAACTAATTATAATTTTATTCGTAACTGTCTCTAATAACAAACTCCTAATTACGACTCTTCAGAATACACAATCTGAAAACGAACTTTGTTGACTTCTGCAACATTTGCTTCAACGTCATCAACACATTCTTCCTTGATAACATCTATATTCTTGAATCGGCTTAAATTTAGTTTTCATTAATGTCCAATTAAAAGAAAGAAAACTCAACGGAATCGTCCTTTATCATTTCCATGTTCCGTATGCAGATGCATTCTGGTTATTCGACTTCTTACGAGATCTCCTTTCGAAAAGACATTAGTCTCACCGCTTGGTGTAAAAACAAAGACATGAGAGAGAACACACAACACAACAATTCTTTGATATTTATCGCTGAAAGAGAGAGAGAGAGAGAGAAGTAAAACTTGCAACGTAAGTAGGCGTGCGCTCATTGCGCACCGTTATATTACGCTTTATATACCCACTCCCCTCCCAGGCCGCAACTTAATTTCATCGAGTACACTATTAGTCGTATACTCCCTTCGGACAGTATAATAGACAAGGCTTACTTGCAACTAAACACCAGCTAACCCATTAAAAAATATATTAAGTAACTGTATCGTATATACTAACCTCATCATAAGAATCTGGTGGAGGAACGGCATGATAATCGGTGTTGCTCTTGTCTTCGTATGCGCTTCCTACTGATCCCGCTGGACTTGACGCTGGTGGAGATAAAGATTGATGCTGTGGCTGTTGAGAGGCAGCTGATGTGGCAGAATAACCACTAGCACTCGAGTACGTAGATGCATAATTTGTTGCCGGTTGCTGATACCCGGCCGATGAATATCCGTAGTAATAGCTTGAATCACCTGTTGTCGCGGTCTGACCTTGTCCCTGAGTATAATATCCATATGAATACTGTTGCTGGTAGTATCTCGCTTGATTATACGGATTATACGGATTATAAGCTGTTGTCGATGAATTATATGCTGCATTTACATCAGCTCCATAAGCATTATTGTATGGTATAGTCGAGCTCCCATTATATGGGCTGGCAGTCTTATTTTGATTAGTACTGGTAGAGGGAGTATTATTAGATGTAGATGTCGGTGATTGCTGGGAAGCGGGAGATGATAAAGGAGGAGGCGGCGGTTGAGGAGGAGGATACGCAGGCAAAGGAGGCTGTGTCGTTGTTGAGGTAGACGAGGTCAAAGATGTACTTGGTGGTGGTGGCAGCGGTGGAGGTGGCGGTTGAGGTGGTGGCGGCGGATTACCAGCTACCGGAGGTCCGCTGGGTAATGGGGGATTTCCAGGAGGGGGAGGTGGAGGCGGAGGAGGCGGAGCTGCTGGATATCCTCCAATAAGAGGAGGAGGCGGCGGCGGTCCATAACCGGGTGGGCGGGGATACGGTGATCTGCCATATGGTTGATACGCAGCCTGCTGGATTTTATGCTTTTCCCACTCTGCTTTCACGGTGCCTATGAGATCTTTGCATAATCTTTTGGCTTTTTCCAATCCTTCCTGATTCCAACATCTATTTTGGCAAACAAAATAAAATCGTAATATTAGCTATCCATTGTCGTGACCTAACAATATAATTAAAATTTCGAGTGCTCACGTGATATGTATATGTAACGGCTCGAATGCCTCCGCTCCCGATGTAGGTTCAACATAACCCGATCCTCGTCCCTTTAATTGCACTTTTGCACCTGTCTCCTGTTGAATATGCTTAACAAATGCTCCCTGCGGACCAACAATTTTAGCTCGCGCATTAAATGAGCGATCTGGTTCAATCCCAACGAACACCTTGTCTTGAACAAATTGACGCTGTTGTATTGAATATGATTGTTAAAATAATACAGAGAATAATAGGCAGACATGAATCAATTCACGTACTCCACCCGAATGCTGAGAGGCACCATGACGAGCATTTTGAGTAGGTGCAGTATTAAAAATCTGTTCCATCATTTCCTCTATTTTCTTAACAGCCTCGTCGAGAGACTCCTGACTTGCCGCTGTTATGTGTAAATAAAGAGGCGGATCTTTCTCTGTAGCAAGACTCTTGTCAGGGTAGTACTTTCCCCTTGTGGTCACGTCTATTAAGAGAGGCAATTATATCAAGTCTTTATGATTGAATCGAAGAAGTAACAAACAGGATGGAGAAATAACAACGTTTTTAATGCGTTACCTGCGCCCGTGTCTTTTTGGATCTTTGATCAAAGCGAAATCGTCAGAATCTACAAGAAAGTATGACAACACGACCAGAACAACATCAACTCACTTGTTGTTGGGTAGCCCCCTTGGTTAATAGGTATCTGTTCTTGCAATCATTTATGACAATGTCTTTAGTGAATTCCAGATCGCCATCCTTCCTAGAACCAATTATTAGCTGTGATGGAGCGGTCAACAAAATCAGCGTATGGGTTAGCTGTGTCATTCAAATACAGATATCATTGTCAGGATACCCAGTCTTGCATAGTGATCATACACACCTCAGTACCGCTTGATCCTTCATCACTACCCTCCAACTTCAACGGTGGTGGCTTGACGGGAATTCCTTGTGCAATCATCATAGCCTGTATCTTTGCTGCGGCAACAGCTGCACAATGAAATTCGACACAACACATGAGCGAAAATACGTCCATTTGAAAAAATATTATCCTTTTCCCGTTAATTACCAGTAGCAATGTTCGGATCGTCAGACACTGCTGGCGTAGTGGCAGGAGATACAGGAGTAGTGCTTCCTTCGTCAACTTTTATTGACTTTACTGTTGGGGCGGTAGAGCTGCTTACTGGTGGGGCTTCCTTGCCTTGATCGTCAAGGTCCCATTTACGTTTACGTCTATTAATCGGAAATTACAAAGTGAATCTTACTCGAAGGTTTATAGGAGGCGCGCCCAGTTAGATTAGCAGCATACAACTCACGTCTTAGTTTGCGTAGACATTTGGAAGAATTACTCTTACCCTTTGTGAAAAGAAAGCGATGGAAAGATTTTATTATTTAGCGTCTGTATCACGTGATTTGCACCCCAAACTGAATTTAATGTGCATGTATTGGATGGAATTCCGTACGTAGCCTCGGACTTCCACCTAATACTAAGAAGTCATGTAGCGGTAGTATACATTCACTCGGTAAGTGACAAGAATGACGCCTATTATTAGTAGAGTTTGTAGTAAATCAGACGTAGATAATAAATGAAGTATTGAAGTAGCGAATACTATACATACTATGAAATAAGTTTGTTGATAATACGGCGCCATGAACGTTTTGCTGCTTAACATTTAATCTATTGAATGTGAATATGGAACAAATATTATTTTCTTTGATAGGAGCTAAGCTGAATTGTGAAAATTATCTACTAAAAAAGACAACTTTCTTCTCTTTCATAGGTAATCCGCGAAATCTGACGAAAAGAAAGATCGTATCTATTATGCATAAGGACAATACTTTCTACAATAAACACACCAGAATCTTCCTGGTGCATGATTAGGAAAAGAAAGAACGGATAAAACCGACTGCCGATGAAATACCGGTCCATTGAAGGATTGAAAGAACATCATAAATGGCGTTCTAGGATACCCGTCAGACATTGTTTACTTTTTTCACAAAGGACACATCTATTAGCTTCAGAACAAACGCAAGTCATTGAATATATAGATATTAGAGATTTGAAAACTGTCTATATATTTACCAATCGATCACAAAAACGTTTGTTCAGTAGGCAGTATGACTAAATGACTAATAACAACACTATGGTTTAAAATGTTAGCTATTTTGGCTTTCGTGTAAGCAAAACCATCTAGCTGCAAGCAATGAGGTACAATAAAGAGCATTTGGCCATGAAGATAGCCATTATTTGCTTTGTTTTGTTACAGAAAGAAACGCATTGGATGCCCTGTCAGAATTGCAACCATCAAGAATTCTTTACAATGATAACGCCTTTGTAATAACTCCACTCGGGAGAAAATCAGTAATTTGCAAAGAAGGATATCAGATAACAATAACAATAACAATAACAATAACAATAATAATAATCACTTCCTCTCAAAAATGTTAGATTATTAGATAAAACTATTGACAACAGAGAATGATATAGCAGTACGAATATAATGCCAGAGCTATCCTGGAAAAAATTGACGGTATGTTTTTAGAATCGCTGTTAATTGAGGAGGTTCTTCTCGGTGGAATGATACCTATAGGATCGGATAAACACAATACTTTAATTGCCGTTCGATATTAATTTCTAGCTTTCGGACATATGCTGCCAAGTTTACAGCGTGCGAACGATCTTCGTTGGAATCCCATTCTTAATATACGATCAGTAATATAATTATATTAAATCCACTTGGGCTAGGTTATTTCCGCTCGACTAGGCCCTCAGATAGCTATTTATTTGGTCTCCAAAACGCGATCGATTGTCATTCATGTAGTTACTGTATTTCTACTCAGGTAGGCTATGCATTTACCTCCTCGAGTTTCGATACCAAAATTTATTGGCAGCCCCGCGAGACAATCGAGTCTGTAGAAACTGGCAGCATACGTGTATGAGTAAATGTGTTCTAATAAAATCACGCTTATGCGTCGAAAATTTATCGCTCGAATGCATAGTCTACATTGGGAAACGTCAAGCCTACCTAAAATTTGAGTTTGTTTCTATGAGTCGAAGACTCGAAGCTTTGTTTTCTTCGTTTATAAATTACTTCCGGAATTGTTTGTAAATAGCGAATTCTTCCGTTGAGGCATCAATCGATTCAAATGCTAATGCAGATTGTCTAGCCCTAAAATTTACGACAAACTGTTAAACTGCGAATTAATTTTGATGTAGATGGAAAACATAAAGACACTGATCCTTTAACGATTAATGTCAATGACATGACAGGGATAATACTCTATCCCATTATTACAGATAAGAGAACTTGGATTGAATGAGAAAAATATAATATTATACCACATGCACAGCAGACATTGACAGTGTAAACTTTTATCAGTAACATGCGTTTATACACGTATGTGTACCAAATAACATTTGATCTGAATGAGATCAATAACCACATCTTACAGCTTAATATTAATATGGCATGCATTTTGCGAAGGTTTCTATGATAAAAACGACGTTTTTAAGTAAAATTATTATTATTATAGTTTATTAGCCCAATCAAATTATCGATACATCGCTGCTTTGCTTCGATAGTTTTTCAATGAATGTGTCTTTTGTAAATACCGTAGTATTAATGTGCATACGGCATATTCCAGACAAGACTGAAGTAGAATGACAAACTATGTTCATACCTCAACAGAATCCATAAAGTACGACAAACGCTTGATTTTATTCCAAGCGTTTTGCTGAAGCTGTAGATATTTAATTATATCGGAAATTGCTTTCTTAAAGAATTCATTATCATGGGATTTTTCTCCTAATTGTGTTTATACTAGTAGAAGACATAGCTGAAAAAATCAAGCAGCATCTGTACATTTTCCCGCGCTGCTTTTCTCTGCGGAGTATGTTGGCGGGTGATACGATTTGTCATGTTTAGATTGATACTTTAAAGTCCTTCGCTTCATCAATTAATCTCATTCACACAGTTTAGATTCGCATCTTTAGCAAAGAATAATCATTATTAATGACACCATGCCTTCTAACGTATTATAAGGGAAATTTAGTTTTTTCTTTCTTTCTCACGACAAAACTGTGCGCGTTTTATGCCGTCAAAGAGATTATCTTTATTCAAAATCGTGTAGCATATTTTTTCCCTGTCTGTTAATGCCTTAAAAATTGGCCAGCACTGAAATAAATTAGTCAAACTTTGAAACTACTTTAGTAGCATTTTTTGAGGGTATCCCACTTTAAGACATAACACATCAACATAAATTAGATATAAAAGCAAACAGTTTATTCGTTTCAAAAGTGGAAAATAGACAAAAAGCGAATGAATTCTTCAAAACAAACGCGCATTGATGTTTATTTAGAATAATGATTCTTACTGTCTAACAATTCACCTTCTATAATTATTTCTATCACTTATTATTCTACATTACCGCTATATAAATAAAATCTTACCAAATAACCTTCAAGATATTTTTCGTAATTCTGGCACAATTGGTTATTGAAAATTGACAAATAAACAAACATTATCATTATATTTATAAACAGTTAGTTCATAATTGCAATCGGGCCCGTATTCAATGCATAATAATAAAGCCAACCAATGAAGTTAACCAATTGTCATTGTAACACCGGCATCAAAAGAGTAATAGCGTTAATTACCTCCATACGGTCCCAAGTGTAATTATGTGCATAGAATGCAATTTGTGAAAATGTCGCGTTTTGTGCGGTCTGTTGCTCCCGTATCTGGTATGACGTCTGTAATAGAGATGATGCCAAACACCTTTAATGAAGATACTGGTCATCAATCGACTTTAACTGAATAAATAAAACAAATATCAAGTTATAATATAAGAAAGCCATTTTGTAGATTGTACAATAAATTGTCATTCAATATAAACCCATTTATAAGCACTTCGACAATGAATTGTATATGTACTGAGATCGTATAGAGAGAATTCTCTACAGGCACACTATTATTTCACCATTATAAATATGGTATGTAAAAAAAAACTTATTCAAACTTATTCGAGATTACCATCTATTATTGTTCGGCTAGACAATCGTATCACTGAGCTGGTATCATATTGCTTGCTACAGTCGCAGACTCTCACGCTCCTTATATATATACCCAGACGCTTCTCTCCATCGTACATGTATCGCCTCACAACAAACTCTTCCTCCATACAACGAACAATGCCTATGCTATATTACGCACATACGAACAATGACCGGCATAACCGATACTATTCCATCGCTTCACAACAATCTCTCCTCCTCCCAAAGCGCAAAGACAACGTTATTAAATGTATAACGCAACAAACCTTCGCCGCCACTCCATATTGCGCACACACGACAGTTTGCTACAACTCTCAAATGAAACGACGACTCAGTTTATCGACCCTCCACGCTAGTGTACACATACAATATGCTTCTTCATTATTAGCGTGATAAAAGAAGTAGGCCCGTACCGACGCGGTTTTTTTTATTTAAGACGAGTTCCGTAGCGTAGCAAGAGGAAGGCAGTTTGAAGACGAGGTAATAATAATTCTTACTGGGGTGGTTTATATCCTAAGTACGCTGCCCCTAGGTTAAAAATCGGATTACGCGAAAGCGCATCGGGCTACACATGTAGATTGTTTATCTTTCGTGTAATTACTTAGTATGTGCATCTGAAGGTACGCTGTAAGTCGGAGGTTTTGAAAGCACACAGGGTGTAAATTAATCAAAACCCCGTTACCTGTGCATACTTCGGCTTTGGGGTGAATAGGATACACTTGAAATACTTTATGGTTCGGGGGTCTGATCGTGAATGATTACTTGCTGTGAACGTTCGGTAATCCGTTCCGAAACGCCGACTGTAGCTTATCACGCTCGGGCTGTGGTGAATAGGATACAGAGACCATTGAATTGAAAGCGCATCGTGGTCACAGTTTGCGTAGTTTACCCGTCAGGACCCCGGCCTTGACATCGGTGACGCGCCTGCTGTGAAATGGTTCTTGACTATTATTATATGGTTACTCATCTCTTTGTACCGAATGCGTGAGTATTGATCGGATAATATGTCCATAAGCACAGGCAACTCATCTTAAATTTTGCGTTAGAAATGTGTTGTTTTCGAAAAGGATTGACTTGTTTGATGCGTACTTGTCCTCCATCATACCCAGCCTACCGTATTTCCGTCAAATTTTTTTTACAAGCTAATTGTTTGTCTGCAGTTTTGTATTTTTGTTAAATATACACGATAATAAATTTGATTTACCCCCTCTCGTTTTGACCGGATGGTTTTATACATTTACAGTATATCTGGTAGAAATTTGAGGAAAGTGGCAGTACAATTACGCGGCTTATATTAGATTAAGTGAACGTGAATACATAAAATTAAAGAAATTCCAGCAGTCTTACGACTGTAAACACGATCATTCAAGCCAAATAGTCTTTGGCTCTTCGTCCGAACCGCTGAAACTAGTTTATTGGGTAGTTAACGTCAGCATGAAATCGTTTCTCTCACGTATCGTTGGCCTAATTGACAAATGTATTTTTCCGGAATACGATGGCCAACCATTCTCATCTGTGAAATCCAGCCATAGGAATGTAGACCAAATTATACTGAAACTTTAAGCGTAATAAGGACTAAATATTATCTTAATGTCCTTGTCTCGTTTAACATGACTGATACAGTGTAGAACTGTCTTTAACATAAGGATTAAAATTTCTAATTATAATGCTTTCGCCTAGTTTGTTCATTGTCATAAATTTGTGTGACAGATATTCATCTACGTCATCAAAAATTATATAACCAAATTTCCATTAGTTTCATCTATCCCTCCTCTCTTCCCATCCATCCTATTCTTCAGCTCTTCATCTCCACACTAAGCCGAGAATGAAAGACATATACAAAGACGAAGAACTTAAAATCCCGGATGGTGTCACTGTCGAAGTGAAATCTCGAATCGTTACGGTTTCGGGGCCGCGGGGACAGTTGACAAAGAATCTGAGGCATATTAATTTGGAGTTACGAAAGACCGATAAGAATACCATAAAGTTGATTGTGTGGCATGGACGTAGGAAGCATGTTGCTTGTTTGAGAACTGTGAAAAGTCATATTGAGAACATGATAACCGGAGTTACCAAGGTTCGTATAAAATTATGTGACCAGAAAGAGGAGGAACATTATTCTTGCACTCGTATATATAGGAGCGCTGGCCGATCAACTGCGTAATAATACTACTACCGTCTCATCGTTCAATTGATCGAAATTCATCTCTATTAAACGTCTTGTTAACAACGTATTTATTCATTCATTCATTCTTAGGGCTTTGAATATAAAATGCGTTATGTATACGCCCATTTCCCCATCAATGTAAACATTGAGGATGGAGAAGTTCATATCCGTAACTTTTTGGGGGAGAAATACATCCGGAGAGTGAAAATGTTGGACGGTGTGAAAATCGAGATCTCGACCAAAAACAAGGATGAATTGGCCTTGACCGGGAATGATTTAGAGAATGTATCGCAATCAGGTGGGTAATAATTGGGGAAGATCATGGAGGGATATCACAAGGGACAATATGCGAATAGTCATCGTTATGTAAAATGGTGGGAAGAAACAAGGAGTTTAACATTTGGGTACCTGAATCTTTGGATACGATGATGGGATGGGAAAAGAAACTATTGGACTCGGTGTTACTTAATCAAATAGACTAACTTTCGCTATAACCCTTATTCTTACCCTTATTCTTATCTGACCCTTTCCCGATCAGCTGCCAACATCCAACAATCAACAGCTGTGAAGAACAAGGATATCCGTAAATTTCTTGACGGTATTTATGTGAGCGAGCGCGGTAAACTTGATGACGAATAAAATCTGTACGAGAATAAATAATCGGTTTAATTTGCCTAATTATGAACGTTTATCGAATGTGAGATATCTGGATGCAATCGGAGTGTTTGAAAAAAAAAAAAAAAACTATTGTAATGAGAACGTTTTTGACTTCTATTCATTATAATTTGTGTTGTCGGATGGAAATCTCTGTTGTGAGCATGTGTACTATACTATATTCCTTCTTTCGATATGTACATCGAAGACGGTATTTGTCCCTGTTTTTGTAATCTTTATTATTTAAATGTCTATGATCCCTCCCTAAATTACATGTTGCCATATTAATTAATATGCCCATCTATGCATTGGATCCCAACCCAGAGTCCATTATACATACATTTCCAATACAACCCCCCACACCCCCTCCTTTTCCCACGATAACTTATCAAAAATAGAAAACTTGCAGCAGTAGCAGCTCAATCAGAGTTGCTATTCCTTCTCCTTAAAAATGCTTCTCGTAAGACAGCATTGATCCGTGCATAGTTGCAGTGGTTGTCTGCAATTTCTCTTGGAGTTTCCATCAATCTTACTCCGACAGGTGATTCATCAATCTCCATCTCACCTAAATCTCCTTCTAGCTCATTAACAACATGCGAATGCCGTGCAAGGTGAGCAAGATGGAGAATAGTATTGATATTGTCGTACGGACTTGGCAACGACGACGACGATGACGTCGTCGAAGCGGAAGGATTGGAGCGAGTGGAAATTCGCATAAGATGTTTCTTATTAGAGCTTCTTTGCTGGGCAGTAGTAGTTACAGAAGTAATGGATAATTGTTGGTGTCGATAATAATCGTTCCTGCTATCATTGCCATCTTCGGTAAGAGAATCTGTCGCTGGCGGTGAGTACGAAAGCGGTGTTGCTATGGAAGAATTCGATTCTGGACTAGATGAGACATCATATGAAAATTCTGAATCAACATTATATGTATGTATATATTTTTTTGAATTATTTCAGAGAATACTTTTTTTTTTCGGATGCTAGAACTAGGCGATGGTGATAAAACGCGTTTTTCTCCATGTTGCGAACGAGGTGTGAATGGGATCTCGCACCCTAACCCCCGCGATCTCACCTCAAACTGTCCCTCTCGAAGGCACGTCTTAGTCTCTTGAATTCTCTCCCGTCTGCTGCTATGCTGGTACTTTCAGTTACTATATCCCTAGCGTGAGTAATTCCAGCGTAATGTCTTTCTGTCTCCCCTTGTTCTAGTTCTCTTGCTCGTTTCCCAGGACATAGGTTTGTGGATTCGACGGCAGTAGAACTGTTTAGGGGAGTAGCTGCATATGCTATGGGTGCATTGCTCAGTGATTGGGAGACAGTCGAGTAGAATACAGACATACTGAGCGGGGAAGAGAGAGAAAGTGTTATATTATGGACTGACATTGCGTAAGCTTTTACTAAAGACTAGCAAGCTCTAACGCTATGATTGGTTGCTGATCTAATCCATTATGATCGACCGACTAATAGTAAACAATGGGACGTATTGCGAAGATACGAGATATGATAGCGCTGACTCTAAGAAAGCTTACACTTTTTACAAGAGTATTCCCGTTTGTTTGCGACTTGAATAGGTTGTTATATACACTTGTGACTTGTAACTAATGTAAACCGAGTTAACATTGTAAATTCGCTTCGGCTGCTGTCAGGTTGTGATATCTACCCAAGGAATTCAAAGTCTATTGTCTTGTTTCAACAATTGCAATAAAGACAATTGTGTATATAGGAGACATGAGCTTCAATCTGCTGGGGGGCAAGGGCAAATTACAATTGATTAAAGAAGCTCTACTTTTACCCTGGGGCGCTTTAACTGTTACACTGATGAGAGGCAATATTTTGTATCACTCGCTGACTTTCTCATCGACATTATTTTCTCACGAAAAAAAAATAATTGTAACACCGGCGATTATGGAGTGAGTGCCGGAGAATCGAAAGAAAGAAAAAAGCATGGAACGAATTGTCTGAAGAATGTCGATTACAAATGGATAATTACTTAAGCTAACGAAGGGGGGTCGAAAACGCAAGTCGATACGATATAATAACTGGACGTAAGACCAATTGATAATGGTGGAAAATTAATATTAATATCAACGGGCTCGATAATAACGGTTCTTTGTTTCCACAGACAATGTCAACAAAGACGAATTGAATGCTTAGTAATCGCAATCAAAGAAACCTCGTAATTTGACAACATTCTCAGAACAGCAATACAATTAAATATTTACACTGAAATGGAATAGAACATAATAAAGGGCCATAGCCGATCGCAACGGATAATAGGCCGCCCGAGTTCATTACGAGACAACGTGTTGGGAAACTTTTTTTGTTAGTTGTTATACATACCAAATTTCTCCCCCAAGCAAGCAATAAAACGGCAAGGCCGCGCGCTTGTAGTTATCTGGAAATTTCTTAACTTGGGCAATAAAATCAATTTACATTGGCACATATATCATGTGATTTAATTTTTAATGATGTCATGTCATCCTACGATCGAATCAAAACCATCGATTGAATTTCTATACTGAGTAACAAACTTTACAGTTTGTTCAACTTTGACTTAAATTTAAGAGGAATTGATTAATTTGATGAATGAAATAACAAGTATACACAGCATTTGTGCCACTATCATTTGTTGAATAAATAACTTTGGACAGCATGTGTTTTCATCCGCCCAAGCGTAGACAAGCTTTATAAGAGACTCACACACACACACACACACACTCTCTCTCTCTCTCTCTCTCTCTCTCCTCCCTCTCTCTTTGCAATGTCGAATAAAGAGAAAGAGTCTTATTCTTTAAAGCAGTTAGTTTCTATTATTATTATTAGTTATGACGCAAAATAGGTAACATGAAGATCTTACCTTATGGTGTGATGTAACATTTGCGGACAGACGGTGCACAGATTTTTTCTCCGATATATATTACAGTACAGTACTAATAACCAAGTCACTGCATCCTTAACCTGCCTGTTTAATAATGTTTAATAATTTTTTTGTTTGTGCTTCAAAGATGCAATAAATAACATACTGTTCCGTTTTTTTTGTTCTTGAAACACTGGAAAATGTCATTGGTCCAGCTAAGAGCTCGATATTTATGCTGACTGAAAATTGAATGGTATCGCTAAGTTTCTTGTCACAGACTAGTGCTGTTTGTATTACTTAAAAGATTCTTGGATTGGGCTTGGTTTGCAGGAAAAGGACCCGACTTTAAACGTGTGTCACGTAACAGCGCTATTACTTTATCCGTTTTCGTCAATATGTGCAACATGAAAATGTATGTGCGCAAGATTTTTTTTTTAAAATAATTTTTTAAAATAAAAACGAACCATCAGCGGACAAACAACACTTATTTGTTACCTATTGTTACGACATGGACGTCATATTTTTTTATTATAATTAACATTTATAGCAAAAAACTCTCACAGCATTAATTACCATTAATTTTACCTTACCTGCCAAAAAAAAAACTATAAATGCAAAAAAATACTGAATAATATATCTTCGATAATTAAGGGTTTGAGCAACCCCCCCCTTTGAATTTATCTAACGGGAGGTTGGCCAATTCGGTAAAAACAAAGAGCTCTATGATAGACTTCGTTGGAGATGTTCTATTGTGATCGATTAGTAAGCAAAGACAATTTTGTGGATAGAATTAATTGGCGAACCTCGCAGACCCCTTTACTTGGGGACACAGTATTTCAAAGTTTGACGATATGCATAAAGTTGGAATTTGTTTGAATAGTTATTGTACCACACAGTTCTCATTAATTATTGTACAAAGATAATGTTTTATTGAAAAAGGAAAAAAATATGTATATATATATTTATATTTAATAATAGTCATAATTGATATCAAATAACGAATAATAATAGGTGCATATCAAATACAAATAAAAAGATGAAAAATGGAATGCATTGTGAAAATCTACATATAATACTTGAATTCGCATAATGTCATTTGAGCTTAGCGTAAATCAGCGTAAACCAACCATAATCTACATAACCATAAACCAAGTTATTTTTCTAATATAATATTCTGCTCCTGGACGAATACTTCTTGACCATTGAGCATTGGATAGTAATTAAAGTTGTTCCAATCATATCCAACTACATCCGTAACGCTGATTTTATTGTTGAAAGAAGACAATAGAGTAGGAGACGAAGAGCAGGCAGAATGTACTGCGGCAAGGTTTTGTGGTTGTATAATATGGTCAAAATATGAGACTTCGTAACTGCTGTGTGGTAAGCCAGAATATTGCAAATCCACTATCTGATCATATTCGCTCTTGTCTTGTGCTTTATTTTTCCTACTGGTTCTGCACCCCGTGGATTGGCCGTTTCCCGCATCTTTGAACACCCATTTTTCCTTTCGATTTTGTCTTCGTTTTGGATGATAGCTGTAATCGGGATATTTGTCTTTATGGCATTGTTTTGCCAGCTTTGATAGTGCCCTAAAGTAGTCCTTGACGGTATCTGGCAAGATTTTCCACCATTCCGTAGCCATTTTAGATATTTCCGAGACGCTATAAGTTCTATCGGCATGTTGACGAAAATAACACTCATAATTTCTACGGAACAGTAACCAGCTATTCTGGGGTCTAGGTATTTTCTTGCCACCGTTAGTGCGTGCTGCTGGATCAATAAGTTTGTCGATAGGTATTGTAAGAAGGAAAGGCGGTTGTAGCAATAATTCATATTCCCGTTGTGTAAGAGTATCGGTATTTACAAAACACATTGTGAATAACGAAATAAAAATAAAAATGTCTATAATCTCTGGTTAAATTTTTATCTATAATGTAATTGATAGATGTGGTCGATGTGCGATATTCAAAACTGTTGCGCGTTGTCGCCTTTTAAAATAATTTGTCTGGTACACGAAAGTGAATATGATTTGCCAAGTATTTGAAGACGATCCAATAATAAAAAGGCATTAGTAATTTATCGTAATTTTTTCCTTTTTGTTGAAAAAAAGAATAAATTTCAAAAAACTGCTTGACAATGGGGTGTTTTTTTATGCAGGAATATACGATTACTATATTAATTAATTAATTAATTAAAATAAAAGTCATAGATTTACCCGACAACTACAGTTTCTATTAGAAATGTTGCCATATGCAAATAAACAGTCGATTGCGGGGACGAATTCACGATTATCGTCTTGACTCTCTGCACGAGCGCTCGGCCCGTTTAGTTTCTAAGCCATAATCCCCATGGATTAAAAAGATCAATGCTGTATTACACTTTTGGTTATTGGTGTTTTATCCAGACACGAGTCGATCCATTCTCAACGGTAACTGCTGTGAAACAAAGATATTTCTATCATGATTGAATACTAAATGTGTATTGTTTGTGTAACAAAATACGTAAACTCGATTGCATATTTGTTATCTATACATTTATTTTTTTTACTAATTCAACATCCCCGTTCAAAAAACTCACCAATAACCCTCTGGAGTTTTGCGTTCCTTTGTTCCTTCTGGGATTGTCTGTTAATCAGTACAGTGACATGTTCGAAAGGCCTCGTCTTGTGCGTCTCCTAATTTCCCCTTACTAACCCATTTTCTATTTTCATTCCCACAGCCTTCTTTCTATTCCGTGTAACATCATGCGTTTCGATTCGACATAGTGGTACGTTGGCTTGGTAATGAATCACAAACTTCTTTTCTCGATTTGGAAATTTGTTTCGATGTACTTGCGAGGTAATATAACTTGTGCGTATTGTGGGTGATTACGCAATACAACTTTACTCTTATCATAACGGCTAGTTTAACAATGTGAAGAAAAAGTCTAAACTGCTGCGCTGCTGTTCTTCCCCCCCAACGCTGCTGTTCTTTTCCTTCCCCCAACATTCTTTTCCAGTTCACGTGGCAACCCCCCGAGTTAATTCACAAAACAGTGGCTAAGGGGAAAAGTGATTTACAGTGTAACAAGTTCTTGTGACTAGTATTTTTGCAATAGCCAAAGCGTTTGTTTGCACAAATAATCTCGATATTGATATAAAAAAATACTAAGAAGAAAAACAGGGTTAGTATTTGTGTGTCAAAATTCTTATTCATGATTATCCTATGATGAGTAATCATGTTAGTCATCACAAACCAGTTTCCTCGGAGAAGCGAGATAATCTATCTATCGAGGATTTCCATAGAAAAGGGTATTTAATATTTACGCATTGGGCAACACGTTATTGTCCCTCCTTACTCGGCAACCAATGTTCAGAGTTGATTTATTGGCATAGTATCAAGTATATCATAAATGGACGTCAAAGAGTAATTTAACTATATAGAACGTACAGCAGTTTACACAAACTTGTGGTCGGTTTGGTTGCTTTCGGAAATGCGTATTAAACAGTTGTGTTATAAGTAACAATTACCCCATATGGCAGTTGGAATGAAACTTGTCATACTTTGATTGGTAACACGAATAATGTTTCGGTCGATTACATTCAAAGCCACTTGCGCCATCTTCTAAATCGGGGCCATTGAATGCATACAATTTGTAATTCACATTACCCACAAAGAATCGGGTTTGTGTAAATAGAGTATTCTAATCAAATATGTGTAATCGCTATTTTTTCATTCATTACATTGTCTTTGACTGAAACACCCTGACGCCCCCTACCTCCCCACTTCCCCTTTCCCTCCCTTTCCCAAGCTCGTTCACCATTTTGGACAAACATATGTGCGCACAATACATAATTGTGCACAGTCCTCGTTCCCACATGGTTCATCTATACTGATAATGCGGTCAATCTGTTTTCCGGTTTGATAACGGATATATTTGTAAACTGCGTAGCGTGCAATTGTAATTGATAAAATAAGTAAAAGCCCATCACAAACAATAGCAATGGAAAATCGACTAGTTCATATGGCAGTAAACCTGATATATTACTATCCATGTTGTATTCCCGACATGTTTCGCACATGATATTATTGTCACGTGTTATGAGCTTATCTTGCATCACGGATTAACATGATTAGTAAAATTGTTTTGCAACGTTGATTAAATATTCACAGACACCTGATAACTTCTATATTCGGGTTTCAAATCATGGATTATTCAGTATCGTCCCAAACAATGTGCTCCAAAAGCTTGTAAACAATTGTCAATAACCAGAAATGACCTTATGTTGTGATCGATCGGCAAATTAAAATTACCTGGCGATCAATTTTAGAGCGGTCTAGACAGATGCAGGTGTAAATTGACAGGCCCGAGTCGTAGGCTGATTGTTGAACCCTGAAACCATTATTGGATGTTACGAGTGGACAGTTTAGACATTCTCGGTTTTTCAAAATATTCAAAATTCTACTTGATCAATGTTAAGTTGAAAGATTAGTTTTACCGCGCCTCTCTTTTGTCCAGGAATAAACTACCAATTTTAATTTGAGAAACAGGCGCTTATTTGCATATCCAAGAATAATAAAAACTTTATTTAAAAATAATTGACAAGTTTTAATAGTCTTGATCTTATCTTGGGTGCGCGCTTTATTAAGAAGTAACACCCGTATTTTAGAAAACGCAAATTTGCAGTAAACAATGATATACAGTCTTCCGGAGCAATAAATTTCAAGCTTTGTTCTAACGGTTAGGTGGGTTTGACATGGAGTTTATAATTTAGACTGCCTGGTTCCCTACTGCAAAAGTAAAAACGTTTGGGATAAGAGAAGAAAGTACGACTTTACGTCTATCAGACGTCTTAGATAATATTTTAATATCCATTATTAAACGTATTTGCTTTCAAAAAATACGATTCTGCTCATAAAATTAGTCCAATCAATCCAATTGAGAATTATGTGGTGGGGAAGAGAGTAAGAGGTGTGTAGACGGATAATTCGTGTAAAGTAACCTGATTGCAATTAAGAACTAAGTTAAGAAATTTAATAGGTAGTATGCTTTATTACAGAGTCAACCTCGTTGAACCGAAGAAATATTCTGGTCCCTATTTATTAATATAAAATTATACCCGAAAATTTATAACTGGTAATGAAGCGTAATCCGAAGCCAGTTGTGATATAAGAACCATTATTTAATCCGAATAAATATAAGAACTAAGCTTTCTGTAACGTTGTATTTGAATTGTTTTTATCATAAACCATACCGAAAAAAAAAAAGACAAAAGATAGACAAATCAACTACGTATGAAATCCTGAAACAAGCGGTTCTGATATAAGAAAGTGGTCGGCTTCAACAAGTTTTTTTCTTATATCAAACATTCTTATAACGAGAGTCCTTCGTTATATCTGGTCTAGCAAAAGTCTTACAAGTTATATTTCTTATACATGTATTGAATCGAAAGCCACCTGTAAATATTTTAGTAAAAATCCAAACCATTTCTTTGCCTTAGGAAACAAGCTGGTTTATTAGAGATGCGACATCAATCACAATTGCAAGCCGATGATTGGCTGACATTATCAGTTTGCATGTACACAGTGAAATTTGCTTTAACAAAGTCTCACTTTAACGAAGATTGCTTATAACGAAGTATTTTTCTGGAACCAGTTTGTTCTTAACAGAATAATTTCAGATAAACATATAAAGTGCTATATAACGTTGAACAAAGATTTCAAAATCTATGCATAAATAAAGCCATTCACTTGCGCGAATTTATTTGTATAACGAAGTTCGTTGTAGGAATTAACTAATCAGAATCATCGATCTCAATAAAGATCTAAAGCTGTGCTTCTTGCTACTAAGACTGTAAAAGCATTCCTTGTTTGTTATATTATTTCCTTTTATCATACGCTTGCTCTCCATCTCAAAGACCCATGAATACAGTTCGTGAATACGTGCGTATATTGATTTGGAGGAAGGCATTTATAATGTCACTGATTATAATGAAGAACAAGACTCACGCATTATGAGAAAAATTGTAGCAACTATTCAAGGACATTCAGAAGAAGAAGAAGAAGAAGAAGAAGAAGAAGAAGAGGAGGAGGAGGAGGAAGTGAGAAAGGTATCATCAGCAGAAGCTATTAATAGTATTGACAGTCTTTGTTATATTTACAAGAGGATTTAAATATAGAATTGCAAACTTTAAGCAAGTTACGTAAAAGTGTTCTTGGAAATATATGCAGAAAAGAAGACAAACAAGCATTTATGAATATATTTAATGTGTGGTTATCGCTATAATAAAATCAACAATTTTTATTGGATATTCATATTGACTAAAATCACGTAACTTATTACTACTTTCGGAATAACCGAAATTTGCAAATTTCCATGTTAGCGTAATTTGGAGTAATCGCAATGCAAGTGACTCTCGATATTAGATTCCTTTGATATAAGAAAAATAATCTATACGACAGGTTTTTTGCTGGTCAATATCAAATTTATTTTTATATGAGAGGTTTATTATAAATTTCCAATATTAATAAGAAAGTCCCCGATTCAAGTTTCATAGAAAATCTCTCCTCGATATAGGACTAAAGCTTATAACAAAACTTTTGTTTACAATCTTCTTGTGCATGTATCTATCCAGAGTTGCTTGTCTTTACCGTTTAATACTTTTAATTTCCATGTCTTTCTTAAAAATCATCTACTACTACCTCAATATTGTGATTAATAAAACAGACAATATTGTTGATGTAAAATAGTGTTATCTAAAAAAGAGCGCAAATAAAGGTTTTGTTATAAGGTTTATTCTCACAAGGATTGTATCGGGTGACTCTCGATGTAAGAGATTTTCGATATAAAAAAGAAATTTGTTGGGCCCGATATCGAGGGTCAGTTGTAACTGTAAGCTGAATACATAGTCAACTTCAATGTCGGTTTGTCGGTAACTTAAGCAGGAAACCAAAGACCAATCAGTAAGTTTTAAGTTTGCTCGATAACAGCATCACGCTCAAATATTCGGTAAACAATGATGGAATAGATAGACAACTTAACAATGTCGATAATTCGAACCCCAGTTCGAATTACAGGAAATTATACATACAGTCCCCGGCGAAAATAATGGCGGTGACAATCATTTTTAAAGTTTTTATAAAAATTCAATACAAAAATCGGTCACTTTTCTTATTTACTTAATATGTCAGGCATGATTAATAATACCCTTGTCTTTATATTTGTATTTTAATAATCTCAGTGAGATTAGACTTGCTAATTAAAATTTAGAAGATTGCAAGTCAAAGAATATAATTTTTGCCCAATATAATCTAATCTGTTAATGTAAAAAAGCCTTTACATTTGCTTTTTGTCAACTTACTCAAAATTTTATTCATAATATTAGGTTAGGTTTAAATTAATATAGATCTAAAAGGAAGCCACTTTTCATCTTGGATTTTTTTGCAAGTTATAATGTTAGTCTTGAACTTCTGTCAAATAAAAAAAATTTTTTTTTTTAAAAATAATAAAAACAAAATTGATATATTAATATTGAAAAAAATTCTGGCCGCCATTATTTTCGCCGGGGACTATATCGTTTGAATAAGAGGAAGGAATAAAAAATATTGAGAATATCGAAAAACGGTTTCGGCTCTAAACGTTCGAATTAAGGGAGGTCGAATTATCGGCAGTCTGTTAGTTTACTTGCTCTCGACAAGTTGACCAACCAGGGCCTAGTATGTATTTATTGTATTCGATAATAGCTAGTTCGAATTATTGAAATTAATCCAAAGCTAAAGCTTTGTCTCGTTGACAGGGTGTATTAAAAAGCATTTTAATAGAAAATTCCTGGATATAAATTCTGGTAAATTACGTTGGGGTGCAGAAAAGTTTTGCGTTGGACCTTTATTTTCACGATTATCGATACAACTATTTATTTATTCGACGTACTAGTACTCTCCATTAAACTCTATACAGCTTGTTCTAGCCGATGTCGCCAACTCTGGAAAAGGGGAACAGCACTTGACAATTAAATGCCGGATTGCTAGATTCAAAGACGAGGAAAAAGAAATTAAGGGCAAGAGTCGTTCTGGACGTTCTCGCAAAGTAGCGAGGTCAGAAAAATTGCCAAGGTTGAGGATTCCGGAAAGATTGGTTGAGTTGAGCCAAACGGACGGAAAGAATTGAGTAAATAATATGATAAGAAGTCACAATTTCTACTAAAGTGGGCATTTCTCGTGAAAGAATTATCTACGTTTTGCACGATAAGCTGAGCCTCCAGAAAAAGGAAAGAACGACCATTTGTGATGTCATGCTTCATCACGATAATGCTGCACCACACAAAGCAACGATTGTAACGGAGTATCTTCATAGCGAACGAGTGGAACTTCTTCCCCACCTGCCAGACATTTCAGCAAGAAGCGAAATAAAAGTATCGTTGGGGGTTTCGACAATGAGATAATGAATTCTCGTCTTTTTTTTTATTTGTTACATGAAAGCTGTGCGTTTGATTATTGTTCCAATTTTTAATTAGACTTCTACGATCTCGAGTTAGAGGGCCACACACGCAAAACTTAAATCTAGGTTCACTGTGTAGCATAAGCACAATTTTTGAAATTCCATAATCCCAATGTCAGATGTTTTAATATGCTGTTATTCTGCTTGAATCGGACTAATCTAAAACAAAGTCTCAATAAACACGAAATGGTTATGAATGTAAAGCATGATTATCGACAATAATAGATAATAACTTCCCTGCTAGTTTTTGGTGTCTCGAGAATTTAAGCCCAGGTTTACTGTCAGAGAGAATGCTTACAGACAACCCTATTAATCGGGGAGAAAGTCTTTCAGAGATAAAGCTGAGCCATAGAGCTAAATCTCAAAGCTTCAGCTAACTAGTCGCTCTCTCACATTAGCTGACCGACAAACGTATCCGCAGTACACAGTCGTGGCGGGATTGGCTTTTTAAGACATAACCCGCCACCAATGTTATAGTATTGTGAAATATAGTACTGTATATACAACCAAAAATGTGTAAACATATAAAATCATCCAAATTCAGTAAGACATATTTGAACGCACACCTAATTTAACGGTTTTCTTGATTCATTTCTTAACCGTCCAAATACAAACGTCCTATTCATTACATCAGTTTGACATGTCTTAGACAATCAGATAATAATGATAATAACATACAGGGTGCTCCTGTATGATAGTAAATGGTAAGCAGTTAGTGTTATTTTTAACATGCAGTTTTAATTATGTCACCAAAGCAAAAAAAAAAAAAAAGTAATAGGTAAAGAATGCGTATACATTGAGGTTCTATACTCCGATAATTCCCCCATTACTAATCACCAATGTGAGTATTGATTAGAAACGATTGCTAAAAACTTGGACGAGAACTCCCAACCTCTTTAGGCACGGATCAAAAAATTACAACTTGGAGTCACGGTGAATAACATACCTGTAAATCCATCGCCGTAAGTAAAATAGAAATTAGTCTCTTGTCAATGTTTTGTTAGTCCACTAGTTGTCTGACTTGTGGCGTAATCAACAGTACTTTTCCATCTGTAAACGTAAGACCGGATATCTTCGTAGAATGTTAGCTTATTGCACAAGCGTGCATGATCTCTGACAAATCAAAACATACCGCTGCAAACTGACCGATTGACTCGTTTACTAAATATAACAAGAGATGTTATTCGTTGTAGGTTGGAAAAAAGACGGATCGGTTATTACCCATTTCTGCCACGCGGGAATCTCCGATCGGAATTCCCGACCAATATTATCAGTCGATGACCAGTGTACATGCCATTGATCCATCGTTCTATTCATCCGGCATTCCGGTTCATTGGGATATCCCATTGCTGAATGTCTTGTTCTCTTCGTAGTGTCACTAGAACGCTTTTGCATCGCCATTGAGTTGAAGATTTCTTGTGAAAAGTATTCCTAACGATTTATTGATTGAAATTTGCAATATACAAGTCTTTTCGGTTCGCTTATGCTATAGTCAGATGCAGGTTATCGAAGCTCTACAATTCTACAATGTATTGATTAATAGAGTAAAAGTGTCAAGAAAAATTTTAATAGTAATCGACATTCCTACATCAGTATTTAGAAAACACAAACAAACACATACATTAGAAAATTTCCCTCTCTCAAATACGCTTATTTCTCCGGTTTCATGCGAATATGCTAGTCAAGGGAATGTCGTCTATTCGTTTCTAAGCATATGCATGACAGTTTCTGATAATGAAAGGATGTGTTTACGTTATATATTAAACCCCCCCCCAAACACTTGTAATAGACCGTAGAAAGCTACATACAGTTTGGTTTTTACGAGTTTGCTGACCACTGAGACAGTTTCTTCAGTTCGAAAGTCAGTCCAGAGGGTGTTTAGAGTGCGTATGTATTGAGGTTCTATACTCCGATAACCCCCCTCCCAATTATTAATCATAATCACACATCAATGTGAATATTGATTAGAAACGATTGCTAAAAAACTTGGAACCAACCTCTGCACGGATCAAAAAATTATAAACTTAGTCATAGTGAAGTTGTCAATAACATACCTGTAATCTATCGCCGTAAGTAAAATCTTTTACTATGCCAGCATCATTCTCTCATCTGGTAATAAATTAGTCTCTTGCAAATGGTTTGTTAGTCCAACTTTTGACCAAGAGTTGCCTTTGATTGTATAAAAATTATTTTTGTAGAATGCTAGCTTATTGCATGATTTCTGACGTAACAATCAAAGTCAAAACATACCACTGCAAACTGACTGATTGACTCTATAACGACAGAGATTTTTATTCGGATCGGTTATTATTTTCACCCGTTTCTATGTGCACTACCACGGAAATTTCCGATGATCAATATTATCAGTCGATGACCAGTGTACATACCATTAATCCATCGTTCTATATTCATCTGGCATTCTGGTTCATCGGAAGACCCTGTTGCTGAATTCTTGTTCTCTTTACATTGTCACTGGGACGCTTTCATGTCGGCATTGAGTTGAAGATTTCTTGTGGATAAGTATTACTAACGATTTATTGATTGAATTTTGCAATATACAAGTCTTTTCAGTTCGCTTATGCAGTAGTCAGATGCAGGTTATCGAAGCTCCTACAATGTATCGATTAATAAAGTAATAATGCCAAGAAATGCCAAGAAAAATTTTAAAACACAAACAAACACATACCTGGTATACGTTAGAAATTTTCCATTTTTACTGGTTTCATGATGACGTTCGTAAGTAAAATCTTTTACTATGCCAGCACCATTTTCTCATCTGGTAATAAATTAGTCTGTTTGTTAGTCCAACTTTTGACCAAGAGTTGCCTTTGATTGTATAAAAATTATTTTTGTAGAATGCTAGCTTATTGCATGATTTCTGACGTAACAATCAAAGTCAAAACATACCACTGCAAACTGACTGATTGACTCTATAACGACAGAGATTTTTATTCGGATCGGTTATTATTTTCACCCGTTTCTATGTGCACTACCACGGAAATTTCCGATGATCGATATTATCAGTCGATGACCAGTGTACATACCATTAATCCATCGTTCTATTCATCTGGCATTCTGGTTCATCGGAAGACCCTATTGCTGAATTCTTGTTCTCTTTACATTGTCACTGGGACGCTTTCATGTCGGCGTTGAGTTGAAGATTTCTTGTGGATAAGCATTACTAACGATTTATTGATTGAATTTTGCAATATACAAGTCTTTTCAGTTCGCTTATGCAGTAGTCAGATGCAGGTTATCGAAGCTCCTACAATGTATCGATTAATAAAGTAATAGTGCCAAGAAATGCCAAGAAAAATTTTAATGGTAATCGACATTCCTATATCAGAATTTAGAAAACACAAACAAACGCATACCTGGTATACGTTAGAAATTTCCCTCTCTTAAATACGCTTATTTTCACCGGTTTCATGCTATCAAGTGAATGAAGTCTATCAGTTTCTAAGCATACTAGCAATATATGCATGAAACAGTTTCTGATGATACAGAAGACGTGCTTACGATATATATTAAAAAACACTTGTAATAGACCGTAAAAGGCTACATACAGTTTGGTTTCTACGAGTTTGTTTTCTTCTGTTCGAAAGTCAAGTGTTGTGCGGGTGTTGTACAGGAGTGTGAGTATGCCGATATTAGAGTGTGAAAGCAGCTTTGCAAGATAAACATAACACAACGGTTTCAAGAAACTTTTACGGCATAAGCCTTTGGGAATTATTAATGGCACACGTTTAAAAGTAATGATAAGAGAAGAAGCATGCATGAACAACAATTACGAGACGATACGGCAGCGCAGCGGGATGGAAGCGGGATGGAAGCGGGATTGGGGGGGTGGGGGGTGGGGGTTGTAAAGTGTATTTTCGGGTAAACAAATAATGCGATTTTTTTTCTTGTATTACAGCTTATCTCTCTTTTCTTTAAGCCACTCTTTACGCGCGTAATTATTTAATTCAAAAGAGACGTCTCTGCATTGACGTTCAGCCACATTCTTTGTGCCTCGGTGTACATTTCTGGAGAGAACTCTATGAGAGATTAAATTTCTGTAAAACCAACTGTTTCATGTTATAAATAACTCTATGAAAACTATAAATAAATGTCATTGGTTACAATTGGAATACATACTTAAAAGTTTTTTTGCTTCCCTTAACAAACATATTGTTTATATATTTACTTACTAAAAAAGGTTGTTATCAGAAGCTAAAAACTGTGTAAGCGCTAGATCCGTTGAACTTCATCTTTGTTCCAATTGTTGTCAATGCTTGTTAGAGTCATATGATGCGAAATGCTTGTTTATAAATAGTAGTCTAATCTATAATTACAGTAGTCCGGAAATACGATGTTTATCAATGGGGTACCAGGTATGGGTACCTGAACTAACACCGTTTAAGAGCAAGTAATTCTAGACTTGGTACGACATCACAGTTGTGTCACGAAATTCTTGTATCACGTTCAATCCTTTAGACGCAAAAATTTATTCCTGGTAATAAAGAAAAGAGACTATCCAGCATTTAGACTTTTCCATATAAGATTTGCTCATGCGGACGACAATCTTGGAAATCTAGAAATTACCAAATATTCATTTTATAGCAGGTTGAGACAGTTGACGATGTATGTAACGCTCATGTGTATCAGTCTTTTTCCTTATAAGATAATACAAAGGGAGGGAACTTGATAAATCTAATTCTGGCTGGTGTGGCACCGTTACTTGCTATGTATCAGATCGACAAATTACACCGAATTTCTTATTTTTATTCTAACGTAACCAAGTCAAGGAGACCCCCCAAAATTTATTCTTGCATTGATAAATGTCTTCATCGAGTTTAATTTTGATCCCCGTTGCAGATGAGGCCCAGCAAATAAATAATTACTTTTTATAGTAGATTACTAAATGAAAAGGAAAGCCCAGTTGCGAGATTTGGGAAATCTTAGAGTTCATTGGCGAAAGCCGACAATGGTATGATTACCAAAAACATAAACACAGAAAACTTCTGCGTTTTCTCCTCTCACGCATTAGTCTTGACAAAAAGGCTATTTTTAACCAATTACGTAATTTGTATTATTCGAACGTAATACACATTAGTTCGATGCCACATGATATTATGTGCATAATGCACACATTGAGTCGTTTCTGCTGCCAGCAATGCAGCCGTTCTTTGATTTAGCTGTGCAGCGGCATTATCTATCGTTCCTACAACATACGTATAAATAATTACTCGACATACGTATAAAATAATTACTCGATACAGTTGTACTACAGCACAGACAATGTTTTCCGAAACAACCATCCCTAAAAATAAAAATACATCTTTTAAATATAGATCTCACCCACCCCCCTTAAATCAACCCACTGGGACAATAATTATAAATACGGTGTGTCGCGTCAAAACTATTTCCAAAATCTTAGCACAATCGAAATTTTTTGAGAATGGGCAAAAGTTCAAAGAAGCGTTCTCCAAAGCCGAAAAAGCAAGGCGGACGTCGTCTACGTCTTACCCAAACTGTTACGCCTATAGAACCACCCGATACCCTGCCGTTTCCACCTCAGTTCGACATGACTGATTTAGTCACAAAATATACCCGCAAACGGCTGGCACGTTTCCCCAACGAATTTATTATCTATCGCAGCTTATATGTAAAGTACCTAAAGGAACGAAACCATAACTTTTCTATGACAGACCTTGCTCCAATCGTTAGCAAATTGTGGAGGGATGAACCAGAAAATGTGAAAACTTTCTACAAGAAAGTTTCTCTGGAAGCCAGAAAACAATATTTGTTAAAAACTCGTTGCGACGTCACGAGTGCATCGAAAAAGAAGTTAAAGCGTCCAAGAAAAGGCCTTGGTACTAAAATAATAATGAAAGTAAATCCGTCGGTTAGGAATTCATCATCAAACTCTCAACAGCTTGCGTCAATGTGTCATTTCACGACACCGATGACTTCAATGTTCAGTCTGGATTTGGGAACGACATCGTGCAATTATTTTGCATCGACTCCGGTTCAACCGACGACAGCAGACATGATGTATTCTTCTCCATTGTCTACTTTGACAACAACAATGTTCGATCAAGCAAATTATGTGGAAACAAACGAATCGATTTATTCGCCAAACATGTTGAAAAACGTGTTTGAAGACTTGGTATACAACAGTCCAGAGAGCAGTAATGGTGCAATTAAAGACGCTAAACTTGAACCCTTTTCTTCTAACACTGTCAATACCGATGTTACCTCCTTATCATCCCTCTTTTCCACCGATATTACCACTTCTTCTTCTATTCCTTTTTCGGTTCCAGTTTACCCCGAGTCTGAAACCGGTTGTTTTTTTGAATCGAATTTTTTTGAATCAAATTTTTTGGATTCTGCACTTTCCGATGAATTATTCGGGAGTAGTATTGACATAACCTGCATGGATGAGAAAATGTGCGATATTAATATGATGGCGACAACTTGTAGTAGTGAGGTTATGACATATCATGAGAATGGGTTTGAACAGAATTTTGAATCATTCTCACTAGGCACTTGTGAAAAGAGCAGCATGTACTCACATTTTGCGACTTTGGGGTAATCGTTGTGTGTGTGTGTGTGTGTGTGTGTTTGTGTGTATTGGGGAAAGTCTATTTTGAATGTATATTCTGTTAAGAATGTTCGATGATAGATTGTTTATATTACTATATTTGAGAGACATATTACAATTCATATTTCGTATACATATACATATCTTATCCGATAGTTTATATACATATTTCTTTTTTAGTTTTTCTAATGTGTTAGGTTAGAGTCAATGGGTTTCTTTTAATTGACAAGTCCCTTTTTGTGTTCGCATTTATATATGTTTCAGTATGCTTGTTAAATACTATCCTCCTTTTTCCATTCCTTCTACTACTAACTAACTATATGCTTTGCTTGTTTATATTTTTCTATACCTTTTTGTACAAACATACTTTTTGTATGCTATAGAGTAGTATATATGCTTGTAATTAAATATCTGCTGTTGCGTGACACATGAGAGTCTATCGCACAAAGGTTTTGCAAAATGTTTGTCTTTTGGACAAAAGTTATGACAAATTTCCAGAATAAGAATACTTATTACACGCCTTTGGGTTTAGTCATCCATGATAATCAGTAAATGTGACATGTAATAAAAATGTTATGTAAGTCAATAATAGTATTTTGCGTTTGGTTTTGAATAAAATGATTGGCTGCTGCGCCGTTGTTATTATTGTTATTATTGTTTATTGTTTGTGTTGTTGTTCCGTTCATGTTGTTGTCGTTCTTGCAATCGTTGTCATTATTCCATATTATATGTATGTGAGTATAAGTTGCGATCCAGTGCTACATACAGTAGTTTATATGGTATGGTAATACAATCGGAGGGATAAAGTTTATCTCGCAATATGCCGCTCAGGAGGAACTAAAACATGCAGACCAACGAACTCAACAGTTCCAATAATAAATCACTTCACGATGTCAGCCAGCATTATGCGTAATTCGACATAGCATGTTTCTCGACAGAGCATTTATCAAATTTCAGCATTTACAAAAAGCATCGAGCATTCATAGCTCTGTAGTTCAACATTAATTAAACGCTTGGAACAGTATCTTTAATATGGTTAGAGTTTCTGATATCACCATGTTTAATTTAGTCTTATCCAATAATGATTATGTATTAATGGTAATGATACACAGGTCCAGTAATATAAATTTGACTTGCACAACGATTGTTCCTAGATCAGATGAGCGATTGGCAAACATACATGCAATACATCTATATTTATATTCTCATCCCCCTAAATAAAATAACATTCCCATCCTCGACCCGTCTCGCCTTGAGAATTGTCTTGTTAACATATTCACCAGTTCCGTTATTATTATAAGGAAAAAAATTTTTTAATCGCTAAATTTATTAATAGCTCCGATTTTATTTGTACACAAACCCCTATCTACTTTGATAGGCGTTACCAGTACATGTTGATGAAGCTAAGCCTTATTTAATTTAGTCTCCAAACTTTGTGTATCCATTACAAAAGTGTTTATGTTTGCTTTATAAGTAAATGCAAATAATATCCTACTGCGTAAATCAATAATAGGGTAACAAGTATCCATTGTTGTTATGTGTGAGGAGAAAAAAAAGAGCCGTATCGCAAAGGGATAGTTGATTTTTAATAAACATAACCTGAATCGGAATTGTTTCGGTTTCTTTGAATGGTTCAATTGTTTTTTGAAAACATCAAAAGTGGGGGGAGCATTGGATGATCTCATTGCGGCGATCGTTTTCCCTATTTTTAAAATTTAAATTTACCCACCAATAAAATTCATCCCATATATTTTTAGCCCTCTTATTATTACTATTATGTACAGTATATACAATAGAACGGCTTCCATCTGCACCAATTAGCATGTCATCGATTAACAAGTTTGGTATGTATGTGCGTGCGTTGGTAGTCTATAATCGTAGCAATCAAGGTTTTTGTAACACCATTATTTAGCGTTCGAGAATGTCAGACGTAAAACTTAAATTTAGCAGATTAAAGGTATTTCGAGATGCGATAAGCGATATTAAAAGGCTTTAGTAATCATATAATAGATAATGGCTTAGAGGATGATATAAAATTTAAACTTTAGCACACAATTCTTAAATCGGAATGTGGCTTCGTGGCTTTAATGGAAAATTTTTTTTTAAATATTAACCTTAACGTTAATTCGAAACAACATGCTAAAAATAGTCAGTAAAGAATACACACACCCCAACAAAATCGATAGTAAAGTACAAAGTTTGTTTAGTGTCAGGATCTGTGTAAGCCCATGATAGAATAAATGGTATGTTTAACGTACGAGGTAATCAGCTTTTCTGATAGGAAAGTGAAACTAAAAGTAACTGTTGTTTACTCGTGGTAGTCACAATGATGTGCTAGCGATAATGTAGTAATACTGCGATGAATGATGTTCTGCAATTGCCATGCATAGTATTGTCACTGTTGTTGTAAAGATGAATTGTCTAAACATTTCCAGATCTGACCGAGGCGTTTCTTAGCGATCCAATCGTGTTTGTAGCTAGAATCAAAGCAAGACTATACGCTGTAAATGGATTGAAAGAAGCTTCTTCTTTTTTTTATACATGGATAGTTTTGCGCTGTCAGAGCGACAAGGATTGTCGTATGATTCGACTACAGTAATTTGTCTGTCGATAAGGAATTGTTGTCACACAGACATGCACACTAACTCCTCTTGCATGATACGCCATCAGCGTAACCTAAATGCCTTTTCAAACTTAATATCAATATTAGCAACAACATTCAATTTCCCCATTGTATAAATTCAAGTTTGACAGATTACCAATTCAGGCAGATAGTGATAACAGTATCTGATAAAGCAGATCTGATAAAGCGGGTTTTATATGTGTTACTATAATAGGATATTCATCAATGGAACAAAGTTAAAGATTGGCATGTGCTAAATAATTTAATTGTGATTAGCAAAAAAGCGTTGTGCTACATCCTACTGCATTACTCTTTCTTGCTCAATTTAGAGTCTTGACTCAATTCGCTGCTGTCTTGCATATCGCTGCATCACTGTTATACAAAATATACTCACTAGCGGAAATAAGAAAGTTGTATTATATCTGTTGTACCTCAGTTCGGAACCGTCTCAGTCTAGAACTCAGTCATTTCAGTCCAGAACTCGGACATTTCAGTTGTCTCGGTCCAGAACTCAGTCATCTCTGAGACAGGTCTCGAACTGAGGTATATCATCGTAAGTGTTGCACATCCCTTTACTTAATCTTGTAAAGAAAAAGTCCACATTTCCCCCAACGAATTGTTCTTTATCCATCTATATTTAATTAAAAAGCCTTTCAAACTTATGGTGCATCCATACCTTGGTACCACGCAGTAATATGTCTTCGTTAATTTTGCACAAAGGGAGCAGCAAATGTTGCAGCTGACGAGAAATTGTCAATTCTATTAATTCACAAGTACGATCCCATGTCAGTAGTAATGAGATCCAATTTTTTTTGTTGGGCTCCATTAAGCTATCTCATTGCTGTTGTAGAAATGTCCTTTTTGTCATAATGCTTAAAACGTATTAATAATCCCACGTTTGATATTTATCCACATAAACCTGCATCTCCAGAGCATGCTACATCCCCACGTCTTTTGTAAGATCCGAGTTTCTTGAAATTTCTAGTCCAATTCAGTTGAATCTAAAAACTGCTCGGTAATGCCGAACTTTACTTTATCACTATCAGATTGGAATAAAAATGGAGGTAAATTAATCTCAATTTGTCGGATGTTATAACGAGAAGCAAGAACTACATCCTTGTTTTAATTTCACGCAAATGTTTTGCGTTAACCTACTACAATTGTCACTTGGTCAAATCTTTCTTTTAGAAAAGGAGTAATGTGCAAAATATTAATTAAAAACAACTGAGAAGAAATGATGGCTATGAAAACGGTTACATTGTAATCGAGACATTCTATATGACCTTGAAGCAGTATAAATCACTTTTTGCAACAAGATCCTGCAAAATTTGAGACTTGCCTAGATTGTAACGCGTATTCAATTGAACGAGATGAGATAACAAAGAGATTAACAAATCTTTCATCAAATAAAGAAAAGAGCTTTTATTATTATATAAAGTTAAAGCGATATAATACTAATTACTATTTAACTGGTTCCCAAATTCTTTTAAAGGTTAATTTGCGATAACAATTCTTGTACATATCATGGACTTTTATTTATCGCCGCAGTATGTTTCAGAAATAATTACTGTATATTTGTTCCAATCAATCTTTGAGAACATTCGAGGTATTTGTTTGTATGTGAAGGCTTTATGCCAATAAAGAAGGCATAATTCTATCCTCTTTACAGAAATTTATTGCATCATATTGAGTCGAGAACTATAAATAATGTGTGTGGAAATGTATCGGGTGATAAATCACAAAATGTAATCAGGGGAAGAAACTCACATTTCATGCAAAAAAGTTTTTGTCTTTAATTAAGAACTAAGAAGCATTGTTAATCAACGAATTATTAATCAATTTTTAATTTGAGTAAAAGGTATGTAAACTTGTATTATGATTACGGGGGGTTGTATTTACAAAGACAATGTAAATGGAGTTGTTTCTGCTACATGTTCTAAAAGATTATATTCTCCACATATGCCTGGCCCAGGAGCAAAAGTTGAGAATCAAAGAAAATTGAAATTCAAGGTATTGTCAATCCTTGGGATTTATTATGGACTGTATGGACTGTTGGTGCAAAACAGATATTTGTCTAACTAATATACAATATTACAGTTTGACAGGTTAAACGAAGACTAAAACTTTATGAAATTTGAACCCGTTATTATAGAATTCTCCACGAAGGCTTCATTAGTTTTAAATACCAAATTCAGACATAATACATATTTCGACATTTGCTTCTATACTAATGATGATAAAAACATCAAGCAAGTTATCGTACAAATTAGATTTTCATATGCGGAGGGAATAGTGTAAAGAACATCAATGCAATTTAGCAACGAATAATGATATGACCATATTTCTTACACCTTATACGATATAATTTTGTATAAGAGCTTTATCTAATAATTTACAAGTCACGTATATTATTACTTACATTCTTATGAGGTTAATGATAAGCGACAACAGTAAACAGGCTGGTTGATAAATGATATTTCATGTTAAACTCTGAAAAATAGTATATTAATCATAAGCTGTTTATGAAAATGCCTGTTTCAGTATTTTAACTATATAACTACATGAAGTAAATCGCGATAGCACGTGTACCTAATAATGTAATATTAACTCCCAATATTAAAAGATAATAATAGCAAACGAAGAGTTCGGATTGTAATAAGCTCGTTTCTTTTTGCTGAAACAAGTGATTAGCTTTTGATATGTAAGAACTATGGAATTGAGTATTACGATAAACATATGCATACATCATTTTGATAATAAATAATAAAATACGTTGCGTTCACAGATTATCCAATTCCAATCTGACATATGTCAATTCCAAATTGACATACAACAAAGGTGATTTGGGAAAAGCGTGTTAAGAAATGCGTCATCGACAATAGACGTGGGATGAGTGAGAATAACGGAAAAGAGAATTCGAATTTCTCGTCAATATCTGTTTAAGTACAGTAGTGTTTAACACCAAGGATCTGATTAGTTACTGACCATATTCACTGGTTAAGATTCAACAACCGTTTATACATGTCGACATAATATACAGTAAATAAGCCTAATTCACATCGTATAAGTAATTATTCAATAATTATTTGAAAATATTTATGACTACGTCGTATAAAATTAATGCTAATTAATATGTAGGTACAGTACATTCAAATCTAACACATCAAATGACTGCTGTGACTACCGCAGTCACAACCAACACATGAAATAATTACCTAATAATGGTAATTCTCCGTTTTGCAGTACTAAAAATGTGATAAAATTTGGCACGTGACAGTGCTTGGTACGATTTACTGGCATTAAAAGAGGTATAGTAATAGACAGCTCTTCTACACAGTAAACCGTTATCATATAATACTGTAATAATAGAACAGGCTGGCTCTATCTGGCATACGAATTACCCAGGAATGGATTTATAAACTTAATGTCTATTTTTAAACATGCTGCCATGGGTTTAAAACGTCAGTTATCGTGATCGCAACGATGAGGAACAAAACCAAAATCAAGTTTCTCATTTGTCGGTAACAAAGAAATGAATTTATGAATGATTATCCGATACCGGCTTTATTGTTTGTACATGTTTATTGCTTCATTTATTAATTAGCAAAATCCGACAAAGTATAATTAGAAGATATTTCTTATTAAAAATTCATACAAACAAAACAACCAACAATAACAACATAATATAAAACTGCTAAAAGCTATTTCTGTTACCCAATGGTTGGTACTGCTAATGAATATTTGTGCAGTCTACAACAGTTTCTACTGGTGCAACTCCGTAAATTCTCTCCTTAGGAGGAATTGATCCTTGAAATACTGCAAACTCCTCTACGACAAAACAGCATTGGTTTGTGATGTTACTGATTCCTAGATCTGCCGATGTTAAAATTGGCAAGCCAAAAGACTCAAAGTCCAAATCGATGGTGGGAGGATCTCCAGGTGTTGGGGTACTGGCCGTGCTGCAATTGGCCACATGAATATTATAGACACCTTCAACTTCTTCGTTTATCGCACCCTGAATATTTATAAAGCCACTAATTTGCAAAGTGTTGTTGGGTGACTGTGTAAATTGGAGAAGCCCGTTAAATGTGTTACCGGAGAATCCGGGCGCATTCACGAGCTGGTCACCTTTATTAAACACACATCTAGAAATAGGACAACATGGCTTATTCCATTTCTTTGCGAGACGCGTGGCACTGGCTTGTGTGGAGTCGGCGAATATCAGAGCGACCAAGAGAGAAAGAAAATAGACTAATTTCATTTTAAATAATTTTTTCTTTTCGTAAGTTTGCCAATTGACTGTTTGGTTGTTGGAAGTGGGGAGAAAACCTCGAAGCATACCTCAATTTTTATGAATTTTGAACAAATGTTTATCAAGATTAACGTATCGCCTATTTATATTAGGGAAATGCACTTGTTGAATTTGTTTAGCTTTCTCTCCGAGTCAGGAATGTATGCAGGGCAGCCTCGCACATGACATAAACTTTTCAATAAATCACTTACCGACCTGGCGCAATGGATTCAAGCGAGGCGTTTCTCAAAGAACTATTGTTCGAACGACACATTGATTATAATGACATCAGGGTTTTTTTTCTTGTGAAAGATTTAATTATGATGTCATTCATTAAATTCGAGATCGATTTTAATATCGTGAATTAAACGTACTGCAATCCAAGCCTCCAAAACATGATGTAACAATCTCGACACAATGATATCATTTTTCTGGTCATTACTCTTGGTAATGTCAAAAAGAGATAAAAGTATCAATCAATTCGGATAAGTCTTGTTTATACACTAAATAATGTGAAATTTCTTTACGCTTGGAGCAAATAAATGTAATGGTAAAATGTGTTACGACTGTGAATATACAGTAATTTCAACAAATGTACTCGCTGGGTGTGTTCTATGTCCGCTTTAGATTCACATTAAACGATATTTAGCTTCCAATCATATATTGTGCTGTTTTTCAGCAGACAGGTGAGATTTCGCTTAACCGGTTGGTTGATCATTAAATCGGTGCTTACCATATTCGTTGAATTTGCGTCATTTTAAGGTCATTTTTTGGTCAAAAACTAATAATTAATATGTTCGAACGCAGAGCCTATTAATATGTATGTACAGCCCCTGTGGTGTTACCACATTAACATTTTCTGCATGTTGGATCTCGATATGGACTAGGGGAGGGCGCCTAATTTGGAAATCGTCCATTTAAATTTCTGACGCTTGTATCGTTTTGTTTCTTTCAATAAAGTAAAGATGCATTAAACTATTACAGCATCTGCAAAATAGACTGGTGATATAAACTAGTGGCCAAATTAGACGAACCCATTCCTAATCCGTTATCCCAACCCATATCTGGATAAGAACAAAATTGGTTGTGTGATAATTCTAATTAGGATGTTTCAAACTTTTTGATTGTCCAGAAATGGAAATACAAATCCTGGAAACTTTTCATGTGATGGTCATATCACGTTACTGGGAATCATCGTTCAATTTTACTCCGTTACTCTATTGTCTTAGAAACAGTTGACTCCTCTGCTTGAGCATTGAATCTTCACTATTGCTGAACAAAGAACAGTTCTTAAGTATCTTTAGTTGTTTCGCCACGTCATATCTCACATCTAAATACTACATACAGAATTTACTTAATTTGAAACCTAGTAAGCGATAGAGTTATTGCCGCTGCATGATATCGTTTGAATCGCTTCAATATAAAATTTTTGAATATCACATTAATATTTTATGGGATTTCCATAACAGACCTAACTCTACGGGGCATACTATCTATTAATCACTCGCAGCCACTCCTCTTGCACCAGATCTTAAAATTTTTGGATGAGGTTTGTGTTCATGCACTTTTCTACCCAAATATCCCATAAATGTTAAGATCTGGACTTTGCGCTGGCCAAGGAAGAGAAGTTATTAAATTTTCTTTTTTCCAATCGATAACAGCCTTCGCTCTATGTACAAGCGCATTATCATCTTGGAAAGTATAAGTGATATCATCACCAAAATCTTGCATAAAAGATAATAAATTCTCCTCTAACAAATTTATATATGCTCTTCATGTAATCGTTCTTCTATCACCACTAAAGGACCAAGTTTATCCTTTGTAAAACCCCTCAAACCATTATACCTTTACTGCCTTTTACAGTCGGAAATACCACGTATGCAATCTATGTCATACTTTTCATGAGGTTTACGCCATACGTAATGCTTACCTCGCTTTCAAATAGAAGGAATCGTGATTCATCACTCCAAATTACGTTATCCCACTCTTTATCCCATCGCAGTCTTTCTTGACACCATTTGAAGCGCTTTTTTTATTACTCTCAGAAACAAGCGGCTTTCTCTGACCAACACGACCATAATAGCCATGTTCATGAAGAACACGTCTTGTAGTAATTGTAACTCGGTTAATTCTAAGCTGTTAACTTCTCAGTTATTTCCTCCACGGAATCCTTTCTATTAGCAACAGCAGTGCGAATAAATGGCGTTTATTGATTGCCTTCAAAAGGGGTGGTCTCCCGATACGAGGGTTGGGGATTACAGTTTTATCTTTTTCAAACTTTTTTATTACGCTGTCACAGGTATTTTAAGCAGTCGGGAAATTTCTGTAGGATGTGTTTGCTCTTGTGAAGTCTAATAATCTCACCTCTCTCAAATATAGTTAATTCGCGGGTTTTTGTCATATTTGCTCAAAATGTAAGGTTTTAACAAATAAATTTGTTCAAGACGAGGTAAAATAAAAGTTTTTAGTATTAAACAAAAAAAAAGATCGTCAAATTTGTCGGATTTTCACGGAGAAACCCTGCATTGGATTTAATCATACTTGGCCGAAACACATTGGATGATCACTGTATGTTGTACCTCAGTTCGGAACCATCTCAGTCTAGAACTCAGATACCTCAGTCCAGAACTGAAACAGGCCCCAAACTGAGGTACAGTACAACATATGTACAAAATTCTAGCACATTTTTGTTAGCATTCGGTTAAGCACTCAGTTAAACAAAGCCATGGGGTTGTAAAAGGCTAAGCTATTACAGGAATTGCCGTAGACGGACTAAATTCTAGGCCTCGACAGTGTTGACAAAATTACTGAATTTAACTCTTGCTTCGCAAAGTAATTGAAAATCATATTTTATTATACATGATTATTAATCTTAATAAAGCATTACACGAACCAAAAATACATTCGCCCCGACTGTATTTGTTTCATATTGTCCCTTGGTGACTTTTGTATTTGGTAACGACGGCCGCTAAAGTTTTTGACAAACGAATTGTCGTAAACGAAAAGCAAATTAATTAAATTATATCCGGATCAGGCTTTCTCTGAACATAAAATAAAAGCTATTCAAATTAGAACGCATAGTCGTAGTTAAAAAAAGTTTGATGGCTTAATAATATTATGCATATCATAAGAATTAACTTAATAAAATCATAAGTTGTAGTTAAATGCCCCTCCCCTCGTAACTAGTATTAAACTATGGAACATTACTAATCATTGGATACTCTTCCATACCATTTTCCAGCACTGGTATGTAGATTAAAAACGGCATATTATCATTAAAGTAAATTTCATGACCAATTGTCGGAAAATTTGATGTACCAATGTCGTCTTGAATTGTTGCATTGTCTCTGATAGTAAGGAGACCGAAAGAATCGACGTGAACATTAGAAGGCAAGCTAAGCGTATTGTCACTAACGTATATGTTAACGCGTTGGCAGGATTCGTCAACATTATTTTGTAAATGAGTGTTGTTATCGACATTACATTGCCCAATGTGTTGATGTGTCTGACCATCAATTTCAGATACGTCCTTTTTGTTATTTTTTTTCCGAGTAGGCTTGTTTCCATCCACTTGTATAAAAGGCCAGCTTGGTGGCTTGGGCCGATTTGACCTCTTCGGCTTATAACAGTAATCGGGATAGACATCTTTGTGTACTTTCTCTGCCAGTTTAGCAAGAATAGTAAAGTATAGTTTTACTTTTGGCCGATTTTTCCAAAAATTACTAGCAATTGCGGAAGTTTCCTTCATGCTACGCGGTTGTCCAGAATAATAAAAACGCAGTTGACCTTCGAGGTCTCTGCGAAAGATAATCCAACCGTTCATTGGTCTAGGAGGTGATGAAGTAGCGTCTTTCCGCATTGGTTTCAGAAGCTCTCTGAGAGGTAAGCTGAGAGGGTATGGTGGATTGAGCAAAAGATTACGTTCAAAAGAATTACGAATGTTTGCAGCATCCATCAATTCAATCGTATAAGCTCTGTCATTATTGACAGCAAAGGGTAGAATGAACGTTCGTTCAGGAACAAAGAGTTTAGACATTGTATATAATTGATCCAAATAATCTAATCTATAATAAATCTATCTAATGTCTATATTATATGCGGAGAGTGTTGAGCAAAGAGTGGGCATTTATATAAGTTTGAGCGATGTTAATAAGCAACCATTGTGTTGATGTATATGCTGTAGCAATTTGCCGTAGCATATTTGTGTTCTCGGGGACGTAAACATATTTAAGTTAGAGACTAATCAGACAAAACCTCTTTGCTTGTATGCCAAAAAAATTCACAAAACGCAACACCAGATAAATACCGAATCAGCCTTTCTGATACTTGGCATGCATATTATTCAGCAGCTATGAATATTATGTTGCTGAATGAACAAAAAAAGATTCACTCTACAATAAAACGGGAAATTTGGCATGCCATTTCTATGCTATTCATGTATGACGGTCATTGAGTGATGGATTACAAAACGTACTTTGCGACGCAACATGCAAATTTAAAAACGCCATTCTCCGCTCCGTAACCTTCTTTTTCTTCTCTGCGACAACGGAAACAGAATTTTTAAGTATCTTCCACGATCTGCAAGGCTGTGTTTAATATAGTATCATTGACGCTTAGTAAGGTACTAACATTTAAGGTTTAACAAGACAAAATCGGAAAGTAAAAGCCAACTTTTTGATCTCGATCACAAACATAGACCAAATATGATATTAAAGGACGCACCTATCATCTCTCGTCATCGTGTATCACTCTCGTTGGTTTTTTTTTTTCCACGGAAAATGAATTCCTGCATCTTAGAAAATGCATACGCAGATTTACTAAACCGCATTTAGTTATTGTATTTAGTTTTAATCATGGTTGCCATGTATTTGTTTATATAATGCAATCAATTATTTAAATGTCGTGCGCGTATCAATTATAAATGTTTCTCATTGATCAAAACAATTAAGCAGGATATCGATATTGTAGCAGGTATAAATCAATTAGTTAAATCCGAAATAACCCAATACACGCGGCTTTTATAAAAGCCGACTCAAAGGCTTGTAGTAACAATTGTCTTCTCTAAACCCTCATGAATAAAATCTTGTTGCTAGACATAACAATTAGTCAGCTAGGTCGGATAATCAAATTCACACATTGACGGACATGTTGCCGTAAGCCGTTAGAATTTGGACACTTGTTTATGTTCCAAAATTTTTATAATGAGCTTTATTATGGGTATTAATTAATATGTATTTGGACAACAATCGATGACGTTGAGTTACAAACAACCAATTCTGATTAGAAACCAACACAATTTTTTATACGAGTTTTCTAAGGGCGCAATGAATTCCACACACATATCAAACAATTGAATAAAATAGGTAAAACTAATTATGCCAAAAATTTAGGTATAACGGATGTTGATTCCGAATTTAGATTTTTTCGGAAATTCAACTTAACTGGTTGGGGCTAACTAGCTATGTGTAACACAGTTTCAACAACCTGACAAGCAAATGTCTACTCTTAGTTAACGATAGGCAACTTCTCTAAAAGCAACCAATCGGTTTAAACAAAGGGCATTCGATTAAGTCAAATTGATTATAAATAACAAAGGAAGCTTTTCTATCGATACTCATTTGGCTACGCAAAACCAGCCCAACAACCAGCCCAACAACCATTTTGGCCGCGCACAAAAAATAAACAAACCCGGACTCGATAAGGCTATAATTGATAGAGTTCTTGGACATTTGGCTTTGAATTTCGACAATCAATGTATTCATTCAAATTCGATTCTTACAAAAGCTTACTTTAATTATAAACAATTGGTACATGTAAAATGGCCGCACAAACAATGGTATTAACCAATTTATTAAGCAGATATATGTACTGTATGTCTATTAATAAAACGTTTTAACTTTGGATTCTTAATTTTTACACAACAGCCATAAGTCTTGCCATTCTTGATACCGGTGCTAGGATGATCCACACTTTTTTGACAAACAAAGTGTTTTGATTGTAAAAATATGCTGTGCAACATCCAAATAGTCCTGGCGGAGTTCCTGTCCGAATGACGAATAGCACTGAAACTTATTACGTACCCTCTATGTTCCAACAATCACAGTTATAAATAGGACGGCGGCAAAACATATACGCAGTAATTGATATCTTTAGGGGCTTAATGAGCTACGTCTCTCAACACAGCCCTTACTTCCAATGACTGATATCTTTTATGTCCAATAAACATCTACTATTTCCTTATTTTATTAACAACACCCTTTTGCTTCGCATTAATTAGGAATAAAGTTTATACAGTGGGCTGCTTATGGTCAAAGATGTTCTGAACCAACAACATATCTATTAATTCTGCCATACATGATCATTTTGAACAGAATATCTATATTAAATAATGTAAATAAAATTTTAAAGTTCGAGGCTTGCATTTGTGTTCATTCTGCAGTACCATAAATACTAATCGAGTCTATGTTTAAGAATTTTTAGCAATGACTTGTTTATTACATGCAGTATCATATTGTTTAAATGACCTATTTTTTACACTTGTTGGATTTTCCATCTTTCCGCAACTCCGATAATCCTTTTCTCGAGAATTAAAAATGATCCAGTCTTCTTCAAGTAAAGAAAAGACATGGACGTAAGCTAATTGGTTACGTAGCATATTGAGAAATTATATCTATCTATCGCTGACATATGTCATCGGTTCTAAGTGGACATACGTCAAATTACGATGTAAAGTCAGGCATACAATGAGCAATATTGTAGTCGCATGTCAAGTTGAGACCATAGAACAATGTATAGATTTATATTTTGCTTTTTGTTCTTCGACTTGTTCAACTTGATGTTATTGTTTGTACGCACATTACAATTGTCTGAACTGTCTGTGCAAAGAGAGACTCAGTACTATGCTATTTTCTACAATACCATATATGCATTCATACATTCAATATTCGTGATGCTGTATACAGCGGAGATAAAATGGGGTTTGTTTTCCCTATTTGTGCGGATAATATTTTAGGCGATAAAGTCGTTTTCTGTGTCACGGACAAAATATCCGTTCGTCCGACTTTCTCACATACGTCCTCGAGATGCATACGTCCTCGACTAATATTCGGCTGTCTTGATACAGTAATACTGTAATATGACCGATGGATTGTGCAATTATGACAAGCCACGTCGATGTTAAATTAGCATCTATGCTATTGGTTAAATACACTCTATTTATGATCTGGACGGAGTATTTGTTTTAATTAAGTAAATAATAAGCACACACATATTATCTACCGGACATGCTGGACCGAAGTTTACCTTTTCAAGATTCGATATAATGTGTATTGCTTATTGGTTTATACAGTTATTTTTGTATAAACGGGGTGTCCAAATAATAATTAAACCTTTAATATATGATAATTATTCACTGTTTAACATATACAATTTAGCACGGGTCCCCCCAAACTAGCGAACAGTAAGGTAACACGTAATTTATAACACATCAAAATATTGATTTCTCTGTAAAGGATTATATTCCATATTCAATATGGATTTAATTTATTAGTTGTCACTAATACTAACGCAGTTTGTGAGTTTGCTTTACATCTTCTCGTTTGCATATTTTATTGTGCTGTAAACAAACTTTTACAACATCTTGCTTTCTTTTTCTTGTGGAGCTGCTTATTGTTTTAATACTATTCAATGTAATGTAACTAAATGTTTACGACTACTATTTTTTCTATAAGAATGTAAAGTTAAACTTCTTGTGTAAATCTCATGTTCTTCCTCTTTGGAATAAAAACCAGTTAGTATCGCATGAATTATCTCACGGTTAACACTTGAATTAATGCCTTACAATCAAAAGTGCTTTTCAAAGCGGGCTTTTTCCTGGTAATGGTGCCATTAGTCCTAATTGACGGTAAAGAAATAGTTTGTTTACGTAAATAGTGCTGGTGAGAACGGGAAGTTATCACTCAGAATAAATAAGGGTTCTCGCTTATGAAATCCCTGCTTCATTTCTGTCTGTTGTGTCTTTTCGTTAAAATAAAATTATTAACCACCAAAGCGAACAACTGGTTCATGCTTCAGTGATCAGTATTATTGTAATTATACTCGGATTGGAAATGCTGTGTTATGTATTATGGATTTTGATACTATATTTCGGCAACTCACATGAAAAAAAGTCTATGCATCAACCAAATAATCCGGTTCAACTACTTGATGCAATTATGTAATAAACGTTGACATTTGTTACGTGATGATTCGTAGATTGACACATATCGAGTTGCATAGATCGAATGTGATTGGTTGGTCATTGATCTCGAACGAGTTTATTCTTGTCATTGATGTTGTGACCCATTCTGAGATTCGATTTTGCAAACATGGGATAATCTACAGAAAATTTTTCATCACAGTGACACACAGACAAATAATTTTAGAGACTATACCGGATATGTACAACAAGCAATTTTTTTATTTGTCGCTTAAAATTAAATTGTGTCTGATTACTCGAAAAGGTACATTTTTTCAACATCTAATTCTAATTAAGCCAACATAAATTTTATGAGTACACTTGGTCGCTTGCTATTAACCCAAAAATCTTCTGCCATTTCATCAGAAATAACATTCAGAGTTCCAGAGCCACTATTACTATTTCCTGTAAAGATCGAAAATATGTCATATAATAATACGTCTAAATCTAGTTCTTATTGCAAGCTTACTATAGTACAGCAACTCAATCTTTGATGTTTTTAAAAAGGAAGACTATTTGTCAGCGGTACATTGTTATGGTTGAGGACTGAATATAGTATGATGGTACCTGTTGTGATTGTAGAACGACCGATAACACTTGTAGCCTTAAACTGCCACCCTACAAACGACTATTACATTAATCGTTATGACTGTACGTTTAACAAGTATTAGTATTACTATATCTTTGCTACAATTTATTGTTAAAGATGAATAAACGAGTGTTTAAGATAATCGAAATGGGTCAAATCCCGGAATAGGTCACAACTTCGGCGAATAATAAGCCACTCATTTACTTGTAGGTCTTTATCAAAACAAGCGAGCTTATCGACATGCAATCATAACATAATACGACACATCGATATTCAGTGCTAAACCATTTTAGTAAAATTGTGTAACAAAATATCCTAGTCGAGGATGGCTAAAGCGGAGTAGAACGTGACCTGATTCTTGCAATTACATTGGTCAAATTTGTATATCAACCAATGAAATTGTAAAAAAACTACTCCGCTTTAGCCTACCCCCAAAATAAGAAATATAATACACAGGCAAACTCGATAAATCGGTCTCTCGATGATTCAATTTTGGCCTAAGAAGGCCAAAACTTCCCAAGCCCTTTTCTCAGTTTTAATATTTAAAATCTCTCGATAAGTCGGTTCTCTCGATAAGTCGGTCCATCATACATGACCGACTTATCGAGTTTGCCTGTGTATGAGAAAATTAATGTTGACAGAGATGCAGATAAACGATAGGGCTGTTGGTTTTATCTGATGCTCTCCTAAACGCCAACAATTTAAAATCTTTTGAGTGTAGTCTTGATAATGCGTGCCGGGTCACTGTGACACAGTAGTTATAACCAGTTTTCGAGAATTGGCCGACTTGAGTCTTATCGAGAATTTTTTTTAAAAAAAACAAACAAACTAAAGACATTTGACTGAGAACCATTAACTTCATGAGTTTTGGAATCCATCCATTCCCGATTTAGCTTATCATATTCAGTACGATGGGAGGCATTTATTTCATCGACAATCATTTCATCGACAGTACACTTCACCGACAGTCATTTCACGTGACACATTGTTTATCGCACTTATCATTGGTTTTCGATGAAATTTATGTCGGTGAAACGTACTGTCGGCGAAATGATTGTCGATGAAATGAACCGGACCCAATCGTCTAAAGGTCGAGCATAAAGATAATTCAGGAAAATACTTAGCCATTTCCGTCAGACTTTTCACTACTGCGCTGATTGGCGCTTGTCGCCATTCTGCATGGTGCTAGCTGACTATTCTTGGAAAGAGAGCCAAATATACAAGTTAGATCTTTGGCTCTAAGTTTCGAACTCATTATAATAGTCGTTGTGTAACAAAGCGTAATTCTAAAACTTGAATTGAGAAGAAACTGCATTGCAAGGTTACGTGGATCGCGTGGATTCTGAAACTATATACTCACAAGAGTGTATTTTAACCGTTAGCCTTGAATAACTCGTCATAAAATTCTTGGCATTAAACCAATCTGATTTCGAGATACGCTTCTGAATATTCTATGGATCATTTGTTTGATTGGTCATATTCGATAAAAAACCTTCCCGTTGATAATATTACGTCTCTCTTCTATGGTGGATTTTCTTTATTGACATTTTACATCAAACTTGGAACCGACAGTCAGTCAAAGTGTCGTTAGGTATAAGTACAGCAGCATTGGGAGATATACCCAATATAGCCAGAGTATCTGATACTCATACTTTGGTAAGAAACAACACGCTTGTCGCTGTATCAGAAACTCTTGCAACAGTTAATTCATAGATGGTAATTAGTTGAAGAGTCATGTTGACGGATGTGTACAGTATATCGCATTAACTCATGACTTTCGTATATTATTTCTCTACTCGTTATAAGTTAGTGCTCACTATAATAAAGCTTTTAGGAAAGCAAAGCTTCTATTATAAGGAAATCAACTACAAAGTTGAGACAACAAAGTCTTTCATGGAGCGTTTTCCTCGGTGGATACAGATACAGTGCAACATTCGCTAAGGAGAAATCAGTTTCATAGTCTGCTTAAGTGAGAAAGAACGTCAGCGCAGGTGCGAAAAACAGATTCCAAGTCTAATGACAGAAGTCTTAGTTCAAACCCCACAGATTTAACGTTAAAAAAGACTTTATTATTATGTCTATTAAAAATAGAGAAAGTATATTATGACAGTATGAGCAAATAAACTTGTTGCCGATAGCCACGATTTACATAGCCACGTGTATCGACCCGTGGTAAACTTTGATATGCTGTATCTGCCAAATATTAAGAAAACTTTATTGTATTGTAAAAGCTCAATATGCATTATTTATACGCGGCCTGGTGCTTTTTTTCTTCTGTTGTTTAATTATAAAAACAGTTTGGCTTTATTTATTTGCCTTTACTAATACAATACAAAAATCTGTTAAATATAGGTACTCTTTCGGTGTTTTATTAAGACAAGACAATACTTCGCTTATACCAAATTTGCTGTTTCGTTATAATAACAGGCTTAATTGTGATGTTCTATTATTGATTAAATTCGGTAATATTATTTATGCGTAACTGTGAGTATTGAGTTACAGGAAACCTGAGTCAGTAAATATACGATTTATGCATGCATTATGTAATAGTATCCAAACAATAACTTTTTTAAAATATAGTATTTTATTGTTAATTAATATATATAATATACTTTTGTATACGTTGATAATAAAATGTAAACCAATCCTATTTTTTATATATTTTTACAGACAAATTTACCTTATTTTGAAACAAAATTTTCTATCAATAATACAAGAGATAGGCTGGTGTAAAAGATGCTAAGAGGACCATGGGTATAAACCAGCCGTGTAAAACGGAGAAAGTTGTTGAGAAATAGGACAAAGGGTAGATAAATAAACAGAATTATGGTTAAGAGATAATTCGTTAATATTAATGTCATTAACCAAATTAAACTCTTCCGGAGATTGTGCGTTAAAAAACGCAGCATTATCAACGCTAGTCTGGTTACTGTTAGTATGACTGTCATCATACCAATTATTATTGCAAACAAATGTAAATTTGTTACTGTTTTCATTCCAATAATTTTCGTTGCTACCGTCGTCTTCAATGCCAAGATATTCATAACTTTCCTTCTGTTCTTCATTACTCTTTCCACTTGCATCGTTTTTGTAAAATTTAGTTCTCAGAATTCTCTCTTTATCTATCTTTTTAAACTCCCAATTTTTTTTCCTGTTATGTTTCGACTTTCTTGGTCGGTAAGTGTAGCCAGGATATTTACCCTTGTGTATATAACGTGCCAAGTTAGAAAGAGCTTTGAAATATCGCTTGACTACCTTTGATTGTTCTTTCCAATGTTTACTCGCCAACTTGGAGATTTCTTGAATTGTAAGTGGCTGATTCGAACAGGAATTGCGTAATAAGCTCTCAAAATTGCTGCGAAATATGAGCCAGGAATTTCTCGGGCGAGGAGGAGGAGCATCTTTTCTCGTGTGTTTTTTGCGTATTGGATCGAGAAGTGATTCGAGAGAAGCAAAAAGACCATAAGGCGGATTGAGCAAAAGCTTTTGTTCGAAGTAAGTCAGGTTGGATAATTCTAGAAAAGCGGCCATCGGAGATTGATACGCGGTAAGGTTAATATTGGATAAGCTTGAGAGTTCGTCACTATGCATGTTCATCGTAACGATGTTTAGCAATATTATGTATAAAATGATGCAAGCTTATTTATAGTTACGAAAGCCGATTAAAAAATAAGGTCATTATAATTGCCTCGATGACTAAGGGATTCGACAATCTTTGAAGAAATCAGGCATTAGATTCACGTCTGATTGGAACAGATAAGAATTCCATAATAGTATTTATTTTGTTTGTAAACAGATTTACCACAAAAAGTATATGATTGGCCATAGGGTATGTTGTACAACCATATCAATGCATAGCAATCATTTGAATCAAATGCACAATGGTTCGAGACGAGATAGAACTTTCGAATGTCGTTGGCTATGATTTCCGATGCGTGTTTGAAACAAGCTTTGTCCGAATAATAATAATCAAACAACATCCGAGACGGGCATTTCCTGCATTTTGCTTTGTTCGTTTACGACAGTGGGGCTATTCTCTATAATTGACAGTGCAGTGTGCTATTGGCTTAAATTTTTTACTACAGCTATAATGTAATTTTTATTAAACGAACAACTCTTGGCGCTATGTTATAATGTCATCAATGGTTGTCTTGTTAGTACATTGCCTTAAGAACTAGAACAATACAAATAGTGTAAACGAAAGAAGCAATTGCAAAGGTGATATAAACATATATAAGATTTTTTATTTTAATATTAATTAATATAATTATATAACATGATCGATAAACATTGATTGGTCAATGTTACGACGTTCTGGAATTTGACCCATTCTGACATCGGGTTAAACCCGCAATCCCGAAACGGGTCAAATTCTAGAACGGGTTCATAAGTATCGACCTACACTTGTGTTGATCAGGCACAAACAAAGTACGATATATCAAAATTTTCAATAGAAAGCAGATGTACAGTGTGTCAATAGAACCGGAAACTCATATAGTTGCCAATTATTGTGCTTTAAATTTTGTGTGAAATTCTGTAGCAGAAATTATTTAAATGGTGGGGTAGGTAAATGGCCGACTAAACCATACAAGTTGTCTTGCTACTACTAAAGCTTTTCTTGATGAGAATATGCCTAAAGTGATGGATTGGCCATGTAACACTCCTGACTCAAACTCTATTGAAATTTTACGGGTAATTGTAAAGAGTAATATAGAGAAACAGATCCTCAATCAATAAATTATGATTGACGAGTATAAGAGTATCCCAGATATGTTATAATAAAAATTTGCAATGAAACGTCGTTGTGAGCCTGTTACCAAAATTGATATAGAGAATGATGTTGTTAACAAGAGAGCATATCAATGTACGCTTTTAAGTGTAGCTGATTATGATTGGTTACTTTTTTTTTAAAAGATGACGAGTTATGTCTCTTTCTCGTTAATTATCGCATATCGTGGTGGTTAAATTTTGCTTTGTTTATTCAACGGAGTCTACAGTATAGTGTAAGATCAGAATTCAATAAAAAGTTGTCACGTGCAATGGTAATGCGTAGTGGAACACAATAAGTTGAGAATTTCCGAGAAAAAAATTTTTAATTCAAACTATGTCGTTAACGTCAGAGCTTGCTAACTTGATTCAATCCTCTGCACCACATGAATATCGTCAAGAACTTGAATGGTTTCCTTGCTCAAAAATTACCGGCATAATGCCATCTGAAATTTACAACACTTATTATACTGTTAAAAATAACGACAATACAAATCTAATACTGGTATTCCTTGGAAACAACAAAGAATATACACCAACACTTGTGAGTGAGTTTGCCAGAATATACTCACTTCCAACGCATAGGTACAGAAATGACGTTAATCAGTTTAGACGGTATACGAAATGGCTTAATGACCGCAACAAACACATAATTGGATTTACCAAGTATAAGGATAATTACTACATGGTTGCTGATGTAAAGTTTTACCACTGTTACTCTCGATATGGATTCTGCTCTGCATGTGGAATACTTCGATGTAGTCCCGTGTGGTGCATTTGTGGTCATAAACAATTGTCCAATGGATGGACTAGCAACAATAAGAAACTCGATGAGTTTATTAGGAAATCTCAATTGCAAACAAACTCACCAAATCATGCCTATTTGGAATGGATTCCATTCAATTGTATTGATGATGGGGGATATAGTGTATACTTGTATGGTCTACCTACTTATGAACGTACTACATTGATTCCACTTAAGACAACAGACAATTTATATTATGCCGAGGTAAACCATTTACTCACGCGTCATGTTATTGATGGTTTAAATAATTATTGACTTATTATTTAATATAATTTTCACTAGCTATGTGATGAGCATCCAGATATTCTTAATAACCATGTTTGGGTCACTATTGGATTTACATACAAAACACATGAACAGAAACATTATCTAATAAGACGCGAGGATGGATTATGTTTGGCATGTGCACATCATTTAGAACCTAGCGTAAATGCATTCTGCTATCGTTGTAGATCACCGAGACCACTTGATTGGACCACAGGAAACAAGTCTTTGGATTCATTCATAATAGAGTCGTGGAGTAATGTGAAGAACCGATTAGATGCCCACGTGCAATGGATTGAATATTCTTTATTGTCGAATGTACAAAAGGTGACATCATTACGCCATGGATGCGCACATATAGCAGATTGGCTAGATTCGACAACTAATAGACAGACAAAAGTGATACTCAAACGGATAGTTGACGAGCATGATGATCAATCGTTTGATTTCCATCAGGTAAATTATTTTACCCGTCCGTGTATCGCAAGTTTAAATCGATTAGTGTTGTAATGTTGCATTGTATTTGTTTACCCAAATAGCTGACAGAAGAATATCCGTCGATATTAACACCTGATAATATTTGGATTATCGGTGTCTCTCAAGAGCCATTTACTAAAGAATATTATTTGGTGTTTTACTATGATGTGCATTCACTATTGGACAAATTTATACGAACTGTTAAATTCGTAATGTATATGGATTATGCCGACTTTGATGAAATCAAGGAGATTGGATCAGGTGGCTATGGAACAGTCTATACTGCCAAATATAAAAGAAGGATTCGGAATATGCCAGAAACTGTTGTTCTTAAACGATTTAAAAACTTTGATTGGACGCCGGAATTATTTATTTCCGAAGTAAGCAATCTTTGATGGTATTATTAAAATTATATACGTTGTATTTATTTATTTATTTATTTAAATAGTTTAGAAATCATGCCAAGTGTATGGACCGGTCTGTTGTATTCCTTAAAATTTATGGAGTGACACAAGAACCAGAAACAAAAGAGTACATAATTGTTATGGAATACGCTAATAATGGTACTCTTTTGTCTTATTTGGATCAAAACATAAACAAGTTGACGTGGAGGACGAAATGGGAGTATTTGTGTGAAATTGCATTTCACCTGAGAATTATCCATTTGATAGGATCTGTACATTGTGATCTCCATGGTGGAAACATAGTTTTGCATAACTATGAGTCTGACAGAGAATTAACCATGTTAATATGCGATCTTGGTCATTCTCAATCGGTGAATTCGCGCAAGTCAAAAACTATTCAAGGCGTTTTACCCTTTATTGCACCAGAAGTCTTCCATACTCGCAAATTTACGGAGAAATCAGACACATATGCATTTGGTATCATTATGCATTTGATTGCTACTGGCGAACCACCGTTTAGAAATAGAGAATTCGATGGAGACTTGATATACGATATTATGGGTGGACTACGGCCAACAATGCCTGATTCAGCACCGAAGAAATACAAGAAACTAGCTCAGCGTTGTTGGGATGCTGATCCTGATAAGCGTCCTGATGCGGACACAATTTGGGGTTATATACTCCACCATAAACATAGGCCGAGCAAGGATAACACGTGGGATACCATTTATCATAACAATGTAACACCTTTATCACATCTCGAAAAGGAGATTAAATACTCTAGTAAGCTCTTATCTGCAGGAGAATTACCTAACCCAAGAAATTCTCATTAGTAAACTCCCTTATCAGATTTCGGATTGCAAGGAGTAAGGGTACGTTGGATTTAGTGGCGGTTACGAAGACAACAATTGATTCTGTCAAGTCAGTTTACAATGTTAACACCGTCCATTTCTTATAATTTAGTGACTCAAATTCTTTTTGAATAAACTTGTAATTTGCAACAGGTTATTTACAGTTTATACAAGTTTATTCAAGTGTTTACTCCTCTAATTAAATACGATATGCACGTTATTATGTTTGAATTAACAGGTCTTGAAATACAATTGTGCACATTTACTGTTAACTACCTTTTCCGGGTAGATTATATGTAAGAAAATATAGAGTACATATTCATTACGGTAAACATTGAGAACCAATGTTCATCAATTTGTCAGAATAAAGCTATAGTAAAGTAAAAGCTATAAGACTAATATTCGAATGGCCCATCTGTTGCCCAAAATAAACCGATCGTATGATGCATTGCTTTAAGCATTCGGGGAACAAAGCAAGAAAACCTGTACATACAATTACTGAATAAAAACTGTTGATCGGCATTGCTACTTCGAATATAGGCTGTGTGAGCCACGCCAGATTTATGAATATTATTGTTGTTTTGTTAGTATCCCAGCTTTAATTAAAAGATTGCGATTGATTGCACCTTTTATATAATTCGTCAATATTATTTACTGTATCATGTGAATAAAATAATTAAAGTTTAGAAGTTGACAACGTATCAACAAGTGTTGTGCTGCTGTTAAGAGAGAGCGATTATGTAACAGTCTTGGAATTTACCTTTTTGCAACAATAGGCTCTGAATTCCTTGCCTTCTTTTAACGCGCTTCCTAAAATACAATCTATTCCCTGGGAAATGCTACTACTAAATTAAGTTACCCTATTAAACTATTATTTTATTCGCTAGCATCAAAATTCCTTTAAAGATGAAAATATCCGGACTCTCTTCATCCCATACTCGTCGCCTAGGCAGGGGTAAGTATAGCACAATTTACGTTAATAAAAGGAAGCTCCATTTAATTACGCTTAACTTGGTAGAATACAAAAGC